GTTTTAACCAATCCCAAGGCATTAACAAATAGATACATGTATCTTTCTTGTGTGTGTGTGTGTGTGTGTGTGTGTGTAAGTTCATGGGTGTGAATGTGGGTACATATTTGTCAAGGTGCATGTGTGGAGGTCAGAAGCCAACTTGGGGTGTTGAGGCAGGATCTCTTTTGTTCCCTACTGTGTACAAAGGCCAGTCCAGGAGTTTCTGCAAGTTCTGCTTTCTCTATGCCTATTGCAGACACAACACTATGTTCAGCTTCTTATGTGGGTTTTGGGACTGCAAACTGAGTTCCTCACACATGCGAGGCACATGATTTCCACTGAACCATCTCCTCAGCCATATGTATGTATTTATCTGTGTGTGTATATGTATGTGTTCATTAAGATATATTTACATATTCAATTAAAATACAAGAACTAACTTTCCTGAGATTATATGTGGTCATAGTGATTGATATTCATTAACTTAAAAGCCACACAACAACCACTGGCCCTTTAGTTCTTGTACCTGGTTTATTAACAGATCTTTCCCCTAATTTTTAGCCTTTTGTTTGTGTCTACAATAACCCTGGAGCAAACTAAGAACCATCTGCCATCATTTTGATTGATTGATTGATTCTTATTTTTTAGCCCCAAAACTGTATCCATTCTTGATTCCCTGCAAATTGTATCTGCACTACAAAAAGATTAGCTTTAAAATCTGATTAAATCTCTACCTTCTTAAGCCTTTTAAAGGTTTTCCATTGCTTTCAGGATAAAGACAATGCCATTAAGGTTACCTTTGAACAAGCCACATGATTGGCCTCCCTTCACCTCTGCAGTTTCTCTTTACTACCTGCCCACTCTCATTCTCCCAACCTTATTCAAGCTGGCTGATTTTTGGTCATCATGAATTTCACCTTTAACCTACACAAAATGGTTGTACATTCTGGTCCCTCTGTCTAGAATTCTTTCTCCTGTCTAAATCCAGTTATTCCCACCTACCTTTCAAATCACAGCCCAATTGACTCTACAAAGTTCTTCTGCAAGCCTTCTCAAGTAGGGGGAGCCTCAATTCTGTGTCTGTACTTACCACAGTTTCAATTTCAGTTATCTTTGTGTCTAGTTTGAGTGTGGAAGGCTTGAATGATGTCTAGTTCAGCTTCCCATTATCCAGAACAATGTTTAGGACGTATAGAAGCTAATGAATATCAGAATAATGATCGGTTATTCACATATTATATTGGTATGGGATCCTTGTTAGATTCTATGGGTGGCATATGTAATACATAGACAGTTACAACATAAATTAATCCCACTGGAAAATATGGTGGTATTGATTTCGGCTTTCAGTTGTGTGATAATTAAGAGAACAAGCCCTCTTGGCATTTGAACTGAAATTTGCCATTTCTCAACTGGTTCACTCCGGAGAACATATATTACCCACAAAGCCTTGATTTTGTGGTTTAGCATCGTAAGTCCCATCTGCAGTCCAGAATTGTGGAAGCAATGAGCCAGCTTGTTATTCATTTGGTTGTCAAAACATTCAACCCCTTAGGTTGGGAAACAAAGACTGTTGTTCGTTTTGTAAATTCTGAATTTTCTAGTAGTCCTTAGCCAAAACAGAATTTAAAGACAACACATAATGGCTTTTCCACTAGATTAGGGGAAATACACATGAATACCATTTTCTAATGTTCAGTTGGAATAATACTAAGCCAAGTCAAGTCAAGCATAACGAGAAACATGATTTAGAGAAAGTTTAGTAAGTTCCTGACAGTTTCAAAATTGAGAACAAGAATGACAAGTGTCGATCACACAGCTTCCAGATCTCATGGGTACTTCAAGCCTTCCTGTCCTGATCAGGGCTTGAGAACAAGGGTCCATAGACTCCTTTCATGAAAAGATAGATTGTGCACTTATATAAATGCAACCGCTATATTGCAATCAAGCAACACACTGCTGCTTTGTATAAACAGCAAAGTAAATAAATCACTGCTCTGCAGCTCACAGCCATCAAGAAGATCGTCCTGCCGGAACCCCCTAGCTTGCTATAAAGAGACTGAACCTTAAAGTCCAATGAACATTGAAAATTACCACTAATAAATTAAAATTACATTATGAACTAGGCCAAGCCATTCAACAAGAGTAATTTAAGTCCGAAAGTTGTTATTCGGAATGTGCTCTTGGTATGACTTGCACCAGAACCAGTGATTGCACCCTTCTTGTTTGTCCTCTAAACCCTCCTTTCTTTCTTCTACCCCTGAGATCTCATAAAGCAGAATTTCTGGGGGCGAGGCATAAATATCACATTTTCATACCTGTCTCCCAGGGGATCATTATGGGCCATAAAGTTGGAGAACCAGAGGGATTTTTGAGGCAGAAATGGTTAAAAGATGTTTCCAGTGTTAGGTTTTTCTCTGCCAGAGGGCAGTATTCTCTGAAATATGGCTGGGTTAATAAACCACACTGAAAGTCAAGCCTAAAAGCCCTTCTTCTGCACTTTCTTTGCTGTATTGAGTCAGCTAGCCATGTGTGTCTTTCTACCAAAATCTTAAACACCATAGCAGATAGCAGGTGAACTTTCTTTTTTTTTCTTTTCTTTTTTTAAAGACCAGGTGACCTTTCAAAATGAAAGATTTTGAAATGTAGTCCAGTTATTTAGGTGAATTTTTTTGACTGATTGTAGACACTACCAGGTGTTAGGGTTTTCTCTGTTCCAGATAATGAGAGGGAATTGTATTTTAGTGTTGATTTGAGGCCAAATTTGACTATCCCCCACAACAGCTAATTTATAATGATTACCTTGTAGTAAAAATCTGCTTGCCTTATGTCTTGCCCTTCAAGCCCTATTGGGAGTGGAGACATCAGGATTGCTGGGGATTTCTGGCTACCAGCCTGGCCCTGGCCTCAATGAGAAACACTATCTCAAGGGAATAAAGGGCAGAGTAATAGAGTAGGATACTCAAAGCCCTCCTCTGACCTCCACACATCTACACATGGAGAGTACATGTACCCTCACATACATATGCACATATAAAAGACACATCATTTGCTTAACTATAGCTAGATGGTGTATATATGTGTGTGTTTGTACATGCGTATATGTCCTTATATGTGTACGTATGTGTATATGCATGTGTTTGTGTGTATATATATGTGTGCATATATGTATACCCATGTATATGTGGGTATGTATATACATATGTGTGTATTGATGAGTCCATGACACACAATGACTTGGAGAAGATATAGTTCTTTGTCAGAATGGTTAACATAAATTGTGGCTCTTCTTGATCCTTTTGGATAAATGGGTAATCCAGTGCCGTGCAGAATCACTCATGTATACACATCAATTTGCTATCACACTTTGTGGCCTCTTTCTCCTGCATAGCTAGTTTGCATGCCATAAAATAAATTAATAAAGTAAAAACTGATGTTCAGTTTCTAAGCTGCATTTCCCACCTACCCCCGCCCCCACCCCACTCAAGGAGAGCCTACATTGTCTTAGAGATAGGTTTCTATAATCAAATGTCAGAGAACATCTCAAGTTGCTGGGATCTGGAGGCCTAGGGAAGCTAGAGAGAAAAGGAGGCTGGTTTTTAGACCCTTTTGTAGCATGCAATGTACATCGAAATAACAGTGCAGATGCGATGATTTCCTTTTGCTTTACAGATATCCCCCCCAAGCAGCAGGTTTGCATCTTGAGATTGGATATAAAAGTAGAAAAATCTTCCATGGGGTTAACATCTTTTAGAAGCCTTGCTAAATAATCAACTCCAGATCAGTTTAGCTTGGCATACAGACTAAAGCAAGAGGCTTGTAGATAAATTCATAGCCTGCCCCCTCTGTGAGAGTGCAAAGCTAAGAGGATCGGAGAAGAGCAACTGAATGTCTGGCAGTGTCTTTCCTTCTTTTCAATGAGCTGTTTACTAAAGTCTAGAGTTTATAATGAGACCCAGGCTTACTCTGCAGCCCACGTAAACAAGCTCTTGGCTTTTGTGCTATCAGGTTTTATGCGAGCAGAGCCATGGGGGCTCCTTCAGTCCTTGCTGCATGGAAGGTTCCCGTTTGTTTACATATGCACATATGTGCTCTGCAAGAACGATAGTCAAGGGGCCTGGCAGGGAAAAGCCAAAAACAACCCTTCTCTCATTTGAATCCTAAAAGCACGTAATATGTAAACGGCTTTCCGGGTTAGAGACTTCTAAATCTGGTGTGGTTGCCAAGTAGTTAAATTACTTAGGATAGAGGCTTCAACACACACAACAGCCTCACAGGACACAGCCTCAGGAGTTCTCGCAGCCATTGCCATTTCCAAGCTAAATTCAAGGCTGATCAAGCTCCCCCTACTGTCTCTTAGGCCTGCTTCTTACCCCCACCCCCTACCCCACAAACAAGTTAACCTTTGTCAGGAATGGGTAGAGACTGGAGGATGTTGTCTTTCCTCATACGAAGAAGAACTTCATGCAGCTTGGCTGGCAGTCCCAGTATTTTGATAAAAGTTACTTCTGCAAAATTTAACAACATGGAGGAAAATAATGCTATCTCTTGTGAGAGTTGCAATTTTGGAAGATTCCATTGTGAGAAGCTCCCGAGGACTCAAAAGAAGCTGAGAGTGTAGTTATACATCGACAGGGTCATCCCAACTGCTAGAAAAATAAACAAATGGGAAAGACAGAGATTTATTTGGTTTATAAATTGTGAGTTTTTTTCCCCCTTGTTTAAAAAAAAAAATGAAGTTGTGGGATTGAAGACACTGAGTAACTGCATAGCAAAAGTTTTGAGCTGATGGGAAGTTCTGGCCAGTTCTGTTTCATTTTTATCGGATAAAATACATTTGGTTTCTCTTTTGACAAACCATGTATTTGTGAGGGAAGAAAAGCGAACATGCACTGTTACCGGCCACCGCCACATAAGAAATCCCCCTGTTGCCAAAGGAAACCACATGAAAGAGTCCGTGTGAGGGGAGGGGCCGGCCGAGGGGTGGGGCCAAGAAGGATGTTGCCTTAAGCCTCTTAAGCTTAGAGCTGCAATTTGTGAACCAGCTGTGATGAAATCGCGCTCTGGACGAATCAGATGCGCCTGTCAACTTCCCAGGTGGGATTGCTTGGAGTTAATAGACTGAACAAGAGCCCCGAACAAACGCAGTGCTTTCAGGGCACGCAAAGAACACCCTACAGAGGCTTTCCAAGAATCCCTCGGCATGGCAAGAAAAGGCTCTTTCGGGTCATACCAGGTAGGCGGAGGATACAGTGGCTAGCGAACTGCCCAATCTTCCATTTGAATTCGATTTTTTTTTCTCTCTCTCCTTGTGCAAATCCAGACATCATCTGAGAACGCCTTTCAGAATGGGCAGGACTGGGGTTGCTGGACTCGTCTGAACAGCTTCCATGAGTTTTGAGTGCATCTAATCTAACCGTGTTTGACGATTCGATCTCTTTATTCCCTTAGGTAATATCCCTGTTCACTTTTGCCATCGGTGTCAATATCTGCTTAGGATTCACAGCAAGTCGAATCAAGAGGGCAGAATGGGATGAAGGATCTCCCACAGGTAAGAGTTACTAGCATGTTTTGGCTCTTTAACAGTATTGTGCACTTAGGCAATCCATGTCAACTCCTTCAGACATTCATCTTTCAGATGACCTTGAAGGGCAATTAATTTAGCCCAAGATTTCTTTGGCATAAAACCAATTGTGTTGATAATTTAGTTGTAAAGTATGCTGTTTTATTTTTAAAGGTTTATTTGTTTTATGTGTATGAGGAGTTTGCTTGCATGCATGCATATTCCTTGGAACTGGAGTTACAGACAGTTGTGAGCTGCCATGTGGGTGCTGGGAATTGAACCCCAGATCCTCTAGAGGAACAGCCAGTGCTCTTAACAAATGAGCCATCTCCCTGCCCCCCAAGTATGTCGTTTTAATCAGAGAACTTTATTGTCACATCTTAATACCTGACTTTAAATTTTTGCACCCTAAAATAAAATATTGAAAAAAAAATGAGAACTTTCGTTTGTAAATAAAGCGAGACTAAGCGCAGTGAGAGCAGGTATTGCTTTAATGGAGGGGCTGGACTGACAAGCTCCATGTGGTACAGAGAGGTGAGACAGAGGGCTGTTGCCAAATGTTATAAAGCACATTATTTGCTACCAGAAAGTTATGTCCTAGGAGTGAGAAGAAAGGAAGTTGTTTTTTTTCTGTCTTGAGAGAGAGAGAAAGAGAGAGAGAGCAAGAGAGAGAGAGAGAGAGAGAGAGAGAGAGAGAGAGAGAGAAACTGTCTTTTACGAAATGTTAGAAATTCAGAACTCTGGGACTAAGATTTCCTGAGAATAAGGGTGCTGTCCATGTGAGCAAACCCTTTAGAGAACTTTGAGCCGAGCTCTGCACTGGCTGCGTTTTCTTCTGAAGTAAGGCAAGGTGAGTTTTCCTAGCCTTCCTGACTCCCAAGCTAATGCAGTTGCTGGGAGTGAATGGGGCTCCTTTGCAGTGCACTGAGCAGAGTGGGGCTTCATAAAGGACTCCTTGTGCAGGCCGAGGGGGCTCTGCTGACCTGGTCTGAAGCAATGACTTGGTTAATTTCCTGGAAATTGGAGCTGCTGATGGTTTCTGAAAATTCTAAAAATTGCATTTGAAATGACAGGCACTCTAGGGGGCAATATTTTCTTCCCTTTCTCTGACATCACAGTACATCTTCTGTCTTTCTGGGAATCTGGTGTTTCTGTGTTTCTTGAGTGGAGCACTGTGAAACACCACCTGTCATTACAACGCCATAAATGGGTATTATGAAACAAGGTATGATGGGATGGTGAATCTCCCATGCAGCAAGCAAGTTATTTGAAACAGGCTTGGGAAGGTTGAAGGAAAAATGCAAAACGTGGGTGAGTGAGCTGAGCTGAGGTGTAGTTTGAAGGAAGAACGGAGAAAACAGATCTGAAAAAATTGTGGCCCCAGGGAGCCAAATGGACAAAACTTCATTGTGTTTCATTGCAGAGGGAGGAGAGGGGTCACTGGGCCAGAAGAGAATGCTGTTTTTATTGAAGGCAAATGCTGTCTTCAAAGCCCTCTTTTTCACTCCTGCTAAGGCTGATTGTGAGGAACAGACAGGGCCCTTGGTGTGGGCATGTGGCTCTGACAGCCCACTGCCGGCTCTTTCCAATGAGCCTAAAAGAAACCTCCCCCTTGCTTCCTTTAAATGATATTGACAGGAATAAATGCTATTTCTTTAATGACTACATTATTTTCAAACTTTATGCTTTTTGAGAACTGGATCATGAAGGCCTGGCACCCTGGGTCTGTATTAGCAAGTGCTATTATGGTCACAGGCAAAACACTTGTAAAGTTTCAGCCATCCAAAGTGAGGGTCAGCTTAGAAGGCTTCTGTTTTATGTTTTAAAATTTTTCAGTTCCCTCTATCCTGTTTCATTCCCTCTTAAAGGTCTCTACCAGAAAACTTGAAAAGCATGGATTAAATGTATTACCCCTTGAAAACACTGCTCTTATAATAAATTATTTCCATAAACTCTAGGATAGATATGACAATGAATGCGACAATATTACCTCAGGGAAACTAGTCAGGTCTGTAGTATAACTCAATTAGGTAGCATTAAATATAGCACAGAATTCCTACTCATTGAATTGTTTGCTAGATCATCATCTTAAGCCTTCATGATATCTAGTGATAGTTCACCAAGCCCATCTACCTGTGTGAAGCTTACTTAGTCTTAGGATGCCATATAATTCACACTGGAGTTTCAGGGTTTAGATATCCTTCTGTGGTTTTTATTCTTAAACTTCTTTTTGATGCAGCTTCCCTGCTGACTACACACTGAGATTCATTTCTGCTTAAATAAAAATGATCAAAGGTGCCTGTTAGAAAGTAGGAGAAAGCGTGGTGTAGACTTTTTTATACATGTATTTTAAAATGCTAACTACCCTGGGAAGGGGAGGGGGGAATCTCCTAAATAATAAGTTATAGGCTGTTGTGACTCTTAACAAAACTTCTGCATCAGAAAACACTGAGTGAATTTTTCCTAAAACAGGAGTCAAGAGAGAAAGCACCCCAATTTTTTAAAATAACACTCTCAGGCTTCCAAGAAAGCCTGCAAACTCAGTGCCACCAGGTGTTTCACAAATAGGAGAAACATAAAGATGTGTTTTTGTTTTGTTTTGTTTTGTGTTGTTGTTTTAGGCATGCAGCTTCTGGTTTACTTCTGGTAGCTCCTGGGTGACAACAGAGAATGTTTTGTATGCATGAATATTCTCACTGCTGCACTATGAACTGAGGTGTCTACTCTAAGACCTCGGGCATGCAAAGAAACTTATAATTAATTAACTAGCACACCTGTTAGCTGGATTTATTGTGAAGAAGTGGTCATCTATTAGACAGGGGGAGGTAAGTGTTCTCCCAGATCCTAAGATGTGGAGGAGGTGTAAAACGACCACAGTGAGTTACAAAGCTCAGGGAAGGGACACTAAAGTAAATGGGTGGCAGAAGTTAAGTTCCAAAGGAAATTTAGCTGCAGTTTAGTTTTACATCTTTGTTTCAAACATCTGACGTGGTCACTCCACGTGGAGAGGAGGTGTGTGTACATGCAGTTGTCTGCACAACTGGCATGCACGGGGATGCAATGTGTCTGGAGTCATGGAGGAGTCTGCAGCACAGAGGTACCCAGGGAGACACGGGTACTCTTTGAACTAGAAGCAGTGTGACACTGGAATGACAAAACGGGATCTGTGAGCTTGTGAATAAATATCCCATAATACAGTCCAATTTATTATCATTTTTATTGGTTTGAGAGGAGTGACTAAAAGCAAATGAGTGATGGATTTTTGAGTAAGTATGGGATGAAAAGCATAACTAATAATTTTATTAGAAAGTAGAAAATCTTACTAGGCATGAGAAGACTCATGTTTTTTTGATAATTTTAGAAGTCTCACTGTACAGTTGAGAGCACTTTAAATGACAGCCCAGCAGACTGTGGGAAGATCTAAAATGATGGTCAGTCGTCACTCCGTGAGGAAAGCTGTCAGGCAGGGTGTGATGTGCAGTATGGTTTCGTGTTAGACTCAGCATAGAAACTTGGAAGTTTGAATCAATGGGATGAAATCATCCGAGTTAGAGCTCAGAGACGTCATAGATTTTGTAGTTCTCTCCATTGAGTGGGGTTCAGCGTCATGATTTTCCCACTTACTTATATGTAGCAGAAACTATCGTGGTCATATATCTGAAATTTCAATGTGCTGTTTTCAACATAGATTTTCTTTTTGTTTGTTTTTTTTCTCGATCTTTTATTGGAAATCAATTTTTTATATAGTTTACTCCAATTACAGTTTCTCCTCCCTCAACTTCTAGACATTCCCTGCATCCCTTCCCTTCTGAATCCACACCATCACTGTCTCTTTTTAGAAAACAAACAGGCATCTAAAGAAGAACAAAACAAATAGCAAACAAACAACTCAGCATAGGACAAAACAAACTCACAAACAGAAGGAAAAGAGACAAAGAAAAGCACAAGAAACACACAACACACACACACACACACGCACGCACACACGCACACGCACGCACACGCACGCACGCACACACGCACGCACGCATGCACGCACGCGCAGAAATCCCTTAAGAACACGATTTTAAAAATCGATAAAAACCAATCAATCTTTCAATATCGTGATTGTGAAAGGATGCTCAATTTGAAAACCCCTTAGTTAATGAAAAGTATAGTACTGAATGCCTATAATTCCAGGAGTTGGGAGGCTGAGATAAGAAGGATGCAAGTTTGAGGCTCTTTGGGGCTACAGTGAGAGACCCTGTATCCATCAGTCAAATTAAACAATTTGCTTTGTTAGTCAAATAAATAATGTGGCTGTGGTGTGAGGATCTGAAATTTTACCTGAGCAGCTTCTTGCTGACATAAGAGTCACTGAGTTGATTCAATTGGAAGAAGAGTTTTGGAAGAAAAACGGTGTGATAAGACCTGTAAGCATAACGATGTATGTCAGAAAAGGTGTATGGCAAAGCTTCTACTCTCTTTAGTTCTAAGGCTGGTGTCTACATCTGTAGTTGATGGAGTTGACAGCATCTATTTGGAAGTATTCTTTTTTCTTTTTTAAGATTTATTTATTTATTATGTAGACAGTGTTCTGCCTACGTGTATGCCTTCAGGCCAGAAGAAGGCACCAGATCTCATTACAGATGGTTGTGAACCACCGTGTGACTGCTAGGAATTAAACTCAGGACTTTGGAGATGCAGGCAGCGCTCTTACCGCTGAGCCATCTCTCCTGCCCCAATGGTGTGTTTTGTTTGCGAGAAGATTTGCTGCTCAGATTTATGCACTTCATTACATTGAGTACTATTTAAATGACCTGTTGAGGTGGTGCTCCACCTTCCTTTAATAGTTCTTCATATTGGGGGGAAGGCCCTGCAAATACAGTTGTTTATGTTGCTACTTCATAATTATAATTTTGCTACTGTTATGCATCATAATGTGTTTTGGAGATAGAGGTTTGCCAAAGGGGTAGCAACCCACAGGTTGAGAACCACTGGTCTAGAGGTTAACCTTTAATATTAAAGTTTTCAGCTAAGTGACTTAGATTTCTGCTTTTTCTGTAATTTGTGAAGTCATTCTACATATGAACGCATCATGTTTATAAACACAATGTTTTTAGGATACAGATCAGTTTATTCATTTTTGACTGTCTCTGTCTCTATCCCCCCTACCTCTCTACCCCACTTCTCCTCTACACTATGAGATCTGGTCCAGCAGCTATAAAGAGGAGAAGAGAGAATAGTGGTTGTTTCTAGAAAGTTCTATACTTAGGAAATGGTGAAAACAGACACATGGGTCTGTGTATAAACTGATAGTGCTTGCTTCCTAAGGGATGAGATGGCAGCACTCAGAAGAGAGGGGGAGGGGCAGCTCAGTCAAGAAAGGATGATGAGAATGCATGAGTTATGTACTCTAGAAGAGGTGGACAACTGCATTCCAGTCTCTAGCTGAATGCCATCCTGAATTCCCAACACACATTCCAAGCCTTTGCTTGCAGGTTACACTTGGGACAGGACAGCAGATAGAAGGGAACTGGTTGTGTTTTCATGCTTTTGGAAGAAGGAACAGGCGTAAGAACAGTCCATAGCCTGTTTTAGGACTTTGTATTCAGCAGATACAGGGGCTGATCACCAAGGAGAATAGGTAGGACTGATAGGGAACAATATGTAACCCTGCCAGTGGAACCAAGCTGTTAGAAGAAACAAGTCCATCTAGCTTTCAGCAAGGCTAAAATACTTGAAACTTTAAATATCATCTCTCTTGTGGACCATCTTCCAGATTTGATTTTTCCATTTAGATTTAGAGGGAAATATGATTGAGAATATAAGATGAAGTTGGTTTTGATAATAGTCCTTGTCATCAGTTAGGGTAACAATCCTGCCCAAAAATCCAATTCAAGTGCCAGTTGTTCATGGTTTTTATATGTCTGCAGAATAAATGATACCAAAGGCTTATAGCTTTATCCCTCCTGCTCCCCTGTGTGTGTGTGTGTGTGTGTGTGTGTGTGTGTGTGTGTGTACAGTGAAATGAAATGTCCTTGAAAAGGGGTTTTACTCAACCAGTTTAAAGTAATCTTGCCTGCTCCTATCTGAATTACAGATCGGAAAGAAAGAAATTGTAATTTACATTTGCATTTTGTTAAGTCATGAAATCATACTTCGGTGAGAAGGAGCTCACAACACAGATGCTGAAGCACATTATAGTTGTGTGTATCCATTTTAACATTCAACATCCCTCAAAACTGACTTATATAGACCTATAACATCTGCTTTTTAAGATCAGAGAATAGACTTCACCTCTGAAGTGACATAGCATCATTTGAAGATGCACATAAACACAGCTTATAACTTCAGTGTCATAGATGTGCTAGCAAATACTTCCATTACAAACTCTTGTTCTCACTTGGTCCTTGTGAATACTTTTTGTTGGCTTGCTTTTTTAATTTCCCATATGGTCTGATTTGTATGGTTTTCTCAGTGATGATGGAAATTTTGGGAGGGCAGCTGTCCATTGCCATATCATTTCCTTCCTCAGTGTCTTACAAAAGTGCTTGTGCGCTTCTTCTGATTGAGATCAAATGAAGCAGGGGCTGTATTGCACAACTCTGGCATGTTATTGAAGACCATTTCCATATTTGGCATCAGATCACTTCTAACAAAAAGACAGGTCTGCAAAAGGTGTAGGGTTAGTGAGATGCCTCAGAGGGGAAAGGTGCTCATTACTTAAGCCTAAGTGATCAATGTTCATGGGACCCATGTGAAGGTGCCAAGAAACCAACACCACAGAGTTTACATCTCACCTCCACACATGTGCCCCAGCATGTGCACCTGTACGTATGCAAACTATCCACATGGGTAGGATAATACTAAGTAAAACTTCCCACAAACAAACAAACAAACAAAACCTGTCCTTAGGCTGGATGTGGGAGGAGGACAAAGACCTTGTGCAAAAACATATTTTTTTAAAAGCCAGTGTGCAGAGAATGACTCTTAGAATGAACAGGACTATCCTTGTTCTGACAGCTGGGAAACGGGATGGGATAGACCCTGGAAAGTCTACGTGAACAAGTGAATTTCAATTCAAGCACTATTTTGTTTTTACTTATTAATTGGTCTTCTTTTTTTGAGACATGGTCACGCTATGTAGCTCTGGCTGTCCTGGAACTCAATATGTAGATCAGTCTGGCCTTGGACTCACAGAGATCTCCCTGCCTCTGCCTCTCAAGTGAGGGGATCAAAGGCGTGTGCTACTATGTATGTTCTCTTCTTGTTTTTAAAGGGGTCATTGGATTAGAAAGGCTCTTCCATGACTCAGACTGGCTTTTTATTTCTCTTCCTGTCATTGTCCATTTAATTCGCCATTGTCATCTGAGAAGGAATTTGGGGCCTCTGATTCACACAGGAACTCACTCCTAACTGAAGCTGCCGATAGCTTGATCTCCCTCATCTTTACTGAGATTTGTCTCTGCAGCATCTTTGACAGCTGTCTTCAGTGGAAATCTTGGCAAGCAGGTCCATAGCTGATAGGGCAAGTTGTTGAGTAGGATGCTATCCTCTCCAAAGACTGCAAGGGGTTAATTAACAGAATGGCTGTTGTCATAAGACGTATTTACAAAATCACCTTGTTAGGATGGGCAAAGAATTACCACAACCCAGCTTAGGATCTGTCCAAGTATTTTAAAGTGAAGAAAGCTCTAGGGAAGAGAATCTGATGAGGAATGCCAACATGGAGAATAGATAATATTACTGTCTGGGACTCCACAAAGGGGGCAAGACCAGACGAACAATGCCTTCAGACTTTTCGTTATTTCAGCCATTAGAATAGCTGGGCATGTTTGCAGACACAGTTCACGGGAGTGATTACTACTTCGGATTTATTAGACAGCTGCTAGAATGATTCTATCCAAGCACCGCCCTTAAACTAAGAACATTCAGTTACAAGTTTTTCACTCTTTTCCCTTATGCTATGGCATTTTTTCCCCCTCTAGTTTCCCTTTTTTCCTGCCATAGTTTCTTATGGATCAGCATGTACTGTTAATAGGCTGGCCAAAATCAACAGAAAAATGTGGTTTGTGGAACAGAGGTAAGACACTGCATTGCAAACAGACAAAATTTTCTAAACTGAACTGATGTGGTTTGCATTTATTTCAATGTCCCAGAAGCAACTGTGAGAAAGCATTTCGCATCTCATGGTCTAGTGAATCTGTTTGCTTAAGTTCAACTGATCTGATGCCATAAAGTCTAGGAATGGGTGATTCTGACTCTGAAGGGGACATTTGACTAAGGGACGAGCTGCATATTCAGATAAATGGCATGGGTGTACCTAAAACTGTCATTTAACATCTGTTCTCTTCCATCTTGTTTTTTCTTGATTTTAAAAAATGTTATGAATATATTTTACAAAAAATGATAATTTTCTAAATACAGAAGTTGCAAAAAGTATAACATAAATAGCATTTTCCAAGACCTGTTACACATATTGTGATACATATTTCACCCACCTACATGCATGGAAAATAAGAGATAATGAACAAAAAGGCCAGACAATTAATTATCTGTGAATTTGTAAAACAGTTGCAAATTTCAAACTAAAGATTGTTTTTTTTTGGTAATGCTATTTTTTTCCCCAGGCCTCATCCACTATATTGATTAATGTATTTTCCAGTGCTAACCTTAACTATTTACCTTCAGAATATACTTTGCTATCTTGTCACTAAATTGCAGCTTTCTGAAATTCTGGGTATTTTTCTGTGTAAGTGTCTTGAATATTTCAGTTTAGGATAAATTAAGATTTTTTTTTAATGGTACTGATATATTTATCTTTAAAATTGTGTGCATATGGTTTAACTAGATTTTTCTAGAATTATCTTTTTCATAAAACTATAGTATATTATTTTAATTTTGGAGGAGGAAAGAGAGGGAGCCCAAGATTCCCTGGGGCTAGAGTTATAGTCAGTTGTGAGTCACCCAATATGGATACTGGAAAACAAACAAGTTCTCTGTAAGAGTAGTATGTGCTCTTAACCACTGAATCATTTCTTCATATGTATTATTAAATTCATATCTTGATTTTTTTCCTCACTTAGAGGCTATTATGGGTAGAACTTTCAGTTATTTTTCAGTCATACATTGCCCACATATAATGAATTTGTCCAATTTTCATCTTATCATATTCTTTCCTTTATTAATCTTTGGTTGATTGGGGGGAGCTTTTGATTATAGCAAACAATGATATAGGATTTGTTTTATCATGTGGCATCTGTGTTCCAGTAATACTAGATTGACAAGGACTTTATGGGTAGAAAAGATTGCAACAGCACTCTGTTCTTACCATACGTGTTCAGACAGGTTTTGGAACACTTACACTTAACTTTGCTTGCAGTGTCGGTGGTGGTGACTGCTTTTCACACAAAATCTCGCTGTGCAGCCCAGGCCGGCCTTGAACCCTATTGTTTCTCTTTAGTGCTTGATCGTGCTCAGCCAGCAGGATGGGTTTTTGAAATAGGAAATGAACTCTTATTTCAGTAGGGGCACTAGCCATTACATAGGCATAGTATTAATAATTGAAAAAATGAGTAGAGCGAACATTTGTTACTCTTTATGCTTGGTACACACAGGTAATAGGTTTCATTCAGTACTCATTGCAATCTGTAATCCTTTTGATGAGCCTCTCAACAAGTAAGGAAACTGTGGCTTAGGTAACGTGGTCACCATGCTTGCGGTACTCAGGTAGCAGGTGCTGCTGACAAGCTTTTCTTCCAGAGTTTGACTGCATTTCCACACCAATTGTTTCCAAGTGCCACTCCTCCATCGATAGCATGGCCATTCCCTAAGTTGTTATCTTTGCCTGTTGTTCATGCGACAGTGTTATCTGACTCTCCATGGACCAACATATCTGGATCCTGCAAGGGTAGATGCTTTGAACTTCAAGAGGCTGGACCTCCCGACTGTCGGTGTGACAACCTATGCAAGAGCTACAGCAGCTGCTGTCATGACTTTGATGAGCTCTGCTTGAAAACAGGTATGTGACTTCTGGATGCCTGTTACCTCCAGCAGAAGGCTTAGTGACTCCTGGCTGTTAATGCACCTCTGTTTTGGCTTATTCACATGGTGGAATAAGTTTGCTTCTTCAATGAGTGATAGTTGTATAAAGAAGGTACTTTGTATGAATAATTTGGCTTAGCCACTCTTGGCCAGCCAAGGACAGTGCTTTCCCCTGCAGTCACTGTGCACTGGTTTTAAAAGCATTTGAGGTCAGGCCTTTGTCCATCTTCATCACAGTTCCTTGTCTTCTTGATCACCTCACATTCAGTTCCAGGGTATGTAGGCTATAATTGTGCCCATTTTGAAAGTACTAGGTTTAAAATTGTAATTCTCTGATTTCTGTGCAAATGGAAAACATTTATGGAATTAATGTGGGGTCTTCTTGCAGCTCTGAGATCTAAAATTTTCCTGATTTTATTTATCTTGTAGTCACTAGAACACATGAGCCATTGAAGTCAAAGAAAAAGTAATTTTGGGGCTTTTATACTTACTCTGTTATCAAAGCCAAAAATATTTTAGATAGGACTTTTGGAGTAGCTTGCACATTCACCACCATGCCTCTACCCTTGCTCAATATACTTAAGAAAGATATCAAGGGCCCTGCTTTGAACACTGGACACTGATTTCTCAGCTTGCCTGACAAATTACTACTTCCACAAATGGGTGGTCTTTTGGAAAGCCCAACTTAATATTGCTATTTGTCCGATCATTTTAATGATATTATTGGAAATGACATATTATTGCCTTTACTTAAGCCTTAGTTCCTGACTTACTTGAAAATCAACATCAACCCCCTTACTAATTAGGACGTATTTTCCCCAAAGCTGACAAACTATAAAGGTTTTATTAGTTAATTTTTTTTGCATAATGCATTTTTGAAGTATTCAGACATATTTTTATTGTGCATTTCCTGTGGAACTTCTACCAGGTTCTTCAGCTGTGGCTCCAGCAGCTTAAGAGCTGAAGCTCTTGTAAATTGAGTGCATGGGTGGAACAGATGTTCTGCGGAGCTCTTTGACTCTAAGACATAATTGCAAACCAGCAGTCTGTCTGCTTAGCAATGAGGATTTTAGAATGTTTTATGTTTTTGCCATACTTCAAGTATGTCAACCTTCCAACATTCTGGTCTTAAAGTTCCTTGCAAAGCTTGCACCCCTGATTCTGGCTTCATTTTCTTTGAATGTAGCTCATGCCTTTTTGCCTAGTCTAATACAGACAGACTATAGCAACACTTTATAAAACACTTAATTCTCTGGTGCTAAAACCAACATGTACTGAGTGTGGAAGAATCAAATGTCAACTAACAATAAAAAGTTGAAAGGAGAGCTATTGTAGTACATTGAGCTCCATAGAGACAGCGCCGGGGCAAGCGCCGGGGCAAGCGCGAGCCAGACGCACACTGGGCGACTCTGTGCCTCGAGGACGAAAATCAACTGAACATGGGCAAAGGAGATCCTAAAAAGCCGAGAGGCAAAATGTCCTCATATGCATTCTTTGTGCAAACTTGCCGGGAGGAACACAAGAAGAAGCATCCGGATACTTCTGTCAACTTCTCAGAGTTCTCCAAGAAATGCTCAGAAAGGTAGAAGACCATGTCTGCTAAAGAAAAAGGGGAAATTTGAAGACATGGCAAAGGCGGACAAGGCTCTCCCAAAGGGGAGACCAAAAAAAGTTCAAGGACCCCAATGCACCCAAGAAGCCTCCTTCGGCCTTCTTCTTGTTCTGTTCTGAGTATCGCCCAAAAATCAAAGGAGAACATCCAGGCTTGTCCATTGGTGATGCTGCAGAGGAACTGGGAGAGATATGGAACAACACCGCCGCAGATGACAAGCAGCCCTAGGAAAAGACGGCTGCCAAGCTGAAGGAGAAGTACGGAAAGGATATTGCTGCTTACAGAGCTAAAGGGAAACCCGATGCAGCGAAAAAGGGGGTGGTCAAGGCAGAAAGGAGCAAGAAAAAGGAAGGAAGAGGAAGATGAGGAGGAGGATGAAGAGGATGAGGAAGAGGAGGAAGAAGAGGAAGATGAAGATTAAGAAGAAGATGATGAATAAGTTGGTTCTAGTGCATTTTTTTGTTTTTGTTTTTGGTTTTGGTTTTGTCTATAAAGCATTTAACCCCCCTGTACACAACTCACTCCTTTTAAAGAAAAAAAATTGAAATGTTAAAAAAAAAAAAGTTGAAAGGAGAAAAGTTTTGGAGGTTCTTTTTTTGCCATACAGGAAGCAAGCCTAAGGTTTCAGTATAATCTCCCGGGTTCTTTCTCTTGCTGTTTAGCATGTCTGGATAGTGTATGTATAATTATGTGTGTATTTATATATACAATCATGTGGGAGGCACTATCTGTATCTATAAGGCTTTTTTAAAACACCATCCTTTCAAATGACGGAATAATGCTCCATCAAACAGCTGAAATATAATTCACTGACTATTCAATTACCTAGCAAGGGCTCCTCTTGGTAGAATGCCCTGAAGGAGCAGCCTTGCTTTAGAGAAGTGGTTCTCAACCTTCCTAATGCTTCCACCCTTTAATAAAGTTCCTCATGTTGTGGTGATCCCCAACATGAAAATTATTATTGTTGCTACCTCATAACTGTAATTTTGCTACTGTTATGAGTCACAATGTAAATATCGGTGTCTTTGATGGTCTTAGGTAACCATGTATAAGGAACATTCATCCTCCAAAGGGGTCCGTGAGCCATGGGTTGAGAACCACTGGATTAGAAGAGCATTGTTTCTTTCTACTGAGTCCACATCTTTAAAGATGAAGGCTTGAAGTGTCCAAGTGTACTTCAGTTCAGAGACACTTGCCTTGACCATCTGCCAGTAGCTCTTCTATTGCCTTGTTCATTTCTCCCCATGGCTGAATGAAGGATGGTGTCTGTTGTTTGTGTGCATGTGGTCTGTCTTTCTTTCCTGCGTGTGAGATCCAGGAAGACGGAGATCTTGTCTTTTGTGTTTCATTGGACCCTCAAGCACCCAGAGTATGGGAAAGAGTGAGACAGAGAGATTAAGGGAAAAACTAAGTACATGGATTAACCATGGAAGCTCCTTATGTTATGGTCCTCGGTTTCTAGAATCATAGTTCATTTCCAATACCATTCTAAGGACATTTAATAAGTATACAATGAACAGCTAGAATGTGCCAGTTAATCTCATGCCTTATATCTGAGATTAAATATAATAGTGATATATATATGTTATATGTTAATATAACATATGATATATATATACACACAAACTTTCATAAGACTTGTAATTTAATGGCTTAAAAATCAATTCAAAATATGAAAATAATACTACAATTAAATTGAAAAGGTTACTTTTAAAAATTTTTTTTTTTTTTTTGAAGAATTGAACGCTGAGCTGTATCTCAGGCATGACTCAGGCCCATTTACTGACCTCCTTAGAGGCAGGAGCTTCATTGTGTAGACTGCCACATTGCGGTCAGTTAGGGTTTGTAGGGTATTAATTCTCCTCTGTACTCTTTCTCTTTTTGTGGTACTTAGGGCAGTTCTGGAGGGGGCGGGGATCTTTGACTTTCTGGGTTTTGTTTTTCTGTGAGTGCTCAGTTATGCTGTGAGTTTGCCCTCTGCTTTGAAAAATTAGAAATTCATCCTATCTGTAAGTTCTCCAAATGTCTTCTTGGCCTCTGGCTGACTCAAGTTTCACAAACGGATCAAATGATGTGGGCTTCGGGCTCTTTTCGTTGGAACCCCTTGTAAGCAGCTGTGGCCTCTTTCATTTGGTTTGTGTGCAGCAGTGAGAGGGTTTCATTGTGATGATTTCAGCTCGTGGCTGGGAGTGCACCAAAGACAGATGTGGAGAAGTACGAAATGAGGAGAATGCTTGTCACTGCTCAGAAGACTGCCTGTCCAGGGGAGACTGCTGTACCAATTACCAAGTGGTCTGCAAAGGTACATGCTTTTAGACTACCTTGAGATTAAACACTGGGCATGCCCGAAGATAACTTCAGTTGTCTGGATATAATGTCTTACGTGTGGGGGTTGGACATGGGAAAGAATTGCATTTTTTTTTAAAATTTACTTGTTTAATGTGTATGAGTGTTTTGCCTGCATGAGCATAGATGTGCCTTGTGTGTGATGTGCCTGTGGATGCTGAAAGAGGGTGCCAGATTGCCTGGAACTGGAGTTATGGATGGTTATAAGCCACCATGTAAGTGTTGGGAACTCAGCTTGAGTCCTCTGAAAGAACAAGTGTTCTTAACCACTGAGCCTTGTTGCCAGCTTCAGAATTATAATTTTATCAATATGAATGTTTTGTCTGCAAGCATGTCTGAACCACATGCATGCCTGGCTACAATGGAGGTTGGCAGAGGGTGTCAGGTCCCTTGGAACTGGAGTTACGGATGGTTGAAAGTTACCATGTAGATACTAGAAACTGAACCCTGGTCCGCTGCAAAAATAGTACGTGCTCTTAACCATTGAGCAGTCTCTCCAGTCCCCAAGAAATATATTTAAAAAAAAAATACACTTTATAGAATTTGTTCTTTGATAATTTTCATGCACGGTCTTTATTAGTTTCTATCTACTGTAGTTCTCCACCCATTTTTTTCTCCCACCTACTCAAAATTTCCCCCTCCCCATAAGTACATTTCCCCACATTTATACCATTTTGTTTTGTTTTGAGTTCCACTGAATGTAAGCATGTCCAACTATGTGACCTTAGGTTTAATTGTCCCTCCCCTAGAATTCAGCATCAGCCAGTGGGTTTCTGTGGCTTCCTGTTAGACTGATGCTTAACTGTTGCCAGACTCATTCTTGTGCAGGCCCGTTGCAGGCAGCTGCAGCTGCAGCGGGATTATGACTGTGCTGGCTATGCCACGCAAAGAAGACAACATTTTACAGCTCTTCTTCCTATCCTTGCATGCTCTGTACTTATACTCCCTGTGCTTGCATGTTCTTTCCACCCTTCTTCCACGATGTCCCTTGAGCCTTAGAGCAGGTTGTACAAAGCATCATTTAACCGGGAGGACCCGTGGTAACTGTGGGCGGGTCCATTCCCTAGGCAGGGGTTCCTGGACTGAATCATGGAGTCCTGCACTAGTATGCAGTGTTTGCTCTGTGCTTTCTAATTGCGAGCAAGGTGAGACAGGCTGCTTCAAATCCCTGCTGTCTTGCTCCCCCTTCCATGGTGGAAGTAAGTCTCTCCCTTGTAAGTAAGACTATCCCTCAATGCATGAACTGAAATAAACCCTCTCTCCTTGGAGTTGTTATTTTCTGAGTATTTTATCATAGCAACAGGAAAAGAGACTCTGGTAATGAGTAAATCACAGAGTCATTTGAAACACTGGAGCATGACTTTTGTTCCCAGTCCATGTCAGGTCCCTAGCTGGTAGCAGCCTAGGGCTGAGGGTGCTTGCTGGTGAAGACAATAAAGCATCAACACATTGGTCACACATAAAGTCTTATTTGTATAACATATATGTGCATGTGTATTGATGGCAGAATATGATGCTTTTATGACCTTAATGGCCAGTTGCCTACAGAAAGCAGGAAAGTTGCAGCTCCAGATATCAAGACATATAAGGAACCACAAACAAACAAAAACATATTTTTAAATCTATAGCTTGCATCATCTCTTAATTTCCTAAATTAAGCCCTTTTCCTCTGTCTGGCACAGAATGGTTATGAAGCATTTCTGTTAAATGAGTTCAGGGAAGGGCTAGCTAGGGTATTAGCATGTGCAAGCATGAACTAAGTCTCTACTTAAGAAAAGACAAAAGAGATTACAGGAAAGAAAAATAATTTCTGTGAGGTGTAAGTGGATCTGGAAACTTCCCTTTCCTGCTATTGTATTGTTAAGTTTTCTCTACTCTATTTTGGACCATAACATTCATCAAGAATTTATTTCTCTGTCCCTTTTAATCTTTGTGTAGTAAATATAATAGGAAGAACAAAGGGTATTAAGAGGAGGGACATAAAAAAACAAGGAGAAAGGTCTTGAATACCATCAGTCACTAGACCATGACAGATTAAGGCCATTTTTGGTGGTTTGAATTCTAATTTCAATACTCCAGTGAGCCTCGCGTGGCTGCCCTGAGTCACTCATGCTTGGTAAAGATAATTCAGCTTCCTTACTAGCCTATGTGGTCATCCACTAGCCAGATGGTTCTAGGCTGTGGGAGACATCCAAGTGTTCTCTATATGTGAAAAATTTCTATAAGATACTAGCCACAAGTTTTGTGTCTGTTCAAGACAAGCCATTTTTGTCTGTCTTAGAGAAACATAAGGTAAATTCTTCTTAATGATAATTCCCTTCCCCCCCCCAAGAATGCTGTCTCCACATCTCTTGTTTTACTAGGCCTTTTTATGGATAAGATAGCTCACGGTTTAGAGGCCTTAAGTCCCCTACTGGAAAGCCCCATCCATTTGACCTTTGATGTTTGACTGTTGGACTACATTGTAACAAGGCAGATTCTATCACAATAAAGAGATTTCATTCTTGTGGAAACCAATGAAGTCCTAAGAGACATGCATTTATCTCTTGTAAGAATGATCCTCCCAACAACACAAATTCTTCCCATAGGCTCTTCCTCTTAAAGGGTCTACCACCTCAGCAATGCCACACTGGAGATGGCCACTGTAGCGCATGAACTCTTGGGATATAAAACACAGCAGAAGCCTAATTAAATAATAACTCTGGGCTGAGGAAATGATGGTTTAATGGAAGTGTGAGGACCTGAATTCAGGTCCCTGAATCCACGTAAGAAGGCAAGGCTAGACAAGGTGGTAGATGAAGACAGCAAGATTGTGGGGGCTCATTGACCAGCAAATATAGCCAATCCATGAACTTCGGGTTCATTGTGAGATTTGTCTCAGTAAATTAGATGGACAGTGACAGAAAATAGAGACCTGACATTGGCCTGTGGCTTCCACTCATACAAGACTTATGTCCTCAGATCTTGAAGCAAGGAAGGAGTGAAAGACAGCTTGGATTTTCATTTATTCAATGCTATACACATGCTCATTGGAAAAGGCTTTCTTGCAATTTTCCATGTTGTCCTTGCATATTATTTTAACAACATAAACCCTTCTTTATCTGAAGGGAAGTTGTGTCATGCTTTCTATGGCTTTTAGGCCTTTAGTGGCTGGAGAGGGAGAGAATGTTCCATCTAATGACCAAACAGTTTATTTTGGGAGGGAAACAAACATGGAATCTTGTCCACTGACGCCACTGTTTTTTTTTTTTTTTTTTTTTTTTTTTTTTTTTAAATCTACAAACCATTTAGGTTCTGAAAGCTGAAATAAACACCATTTGAGGTTATTAAATCTTAGCTTTCCCACCATGTATGGGTGTACTTTAAAAGCCAGAGCTGACACTAGACTTTATTTCAGAACTTCTTATTAGATGGTGTCCCAGAAACAAGTAGCAAACAGGACACAGATTCTGGCATTGTGTGTCTGCATTCTTGATGGTGTGTATAAATAGACTTTGCAATAAATGTCCCCATTTTTCTTTGTAGGAGAATCGCACTGGGTAGATGACGACTGTGAAGAAATAAAGGCTCCCGAATGCCCTGCAGGGTGAGTGTATTTTGTTTTATGGATTTTATGAATTATTCCACATTCTTTGATAAACCATCATGAAAAATAGATGGGTGAATGGCTACCAATATTTTAAGATGGAATCCACTTCTACCCATAAACTTATATGAGTTCTTATAAATATGTTGCCACTGAAGCTATCTCAAAGCTTTTATAAAACAAAGCAAAACACATTTATGTATTATTGTGAGTATGTGTATGAGTGTGCATGTCTCTCTGTGTGTGTGTGTGTGTGTGTGTACACAAGCATGCGTCTGTACAAGATGTATACATGAACACTTGTGCCAAGGCACATGGAGGTCAGAGAGCTCCTTAGTGGAGTTGATTCTCTCCTTCACCTTTACGTGGCTTCCTGGGATCAATTCTGATCAGCAGGCAGCTGCTGAGCCATGTCCCCAGTCCTATCTTGAAGCTTTGATGTTCCGGTTTCCCTTCAGCTGTCCCCTATAACTGCTGTGAATTGTGGAGTCTTGGTGTCTGCTGAAGTCACCAAAGAGCATTACTTAAAGGATGCATTTCCCGCAGTGATTCCTGTCCTCCTACTCTGCCCCCCCCAGAAACCCCCAGGGTAATTTTCCTTGAGTTCCTTTGTTAGTGTGTGAGGGTGGGGAAGGGAAGGAGATTCTAGAACTTCTAATAGCTGTCATCCAAGAAGGTAACTCCTACCAGATTCAGCAGAAACCCTCTACTCTGCCAACGGGCTGCCTCACTGGGGAACAGCCAAACTAAGTGACACCCAACCGCTCAAGTGTGACCAAAACTGGGCCCTTAGGCCTTCCAGAAAACTGTAGACTCCATGGACCTTTCAATGCTTGTCAGAAGATACATTTTCAACAAATGTGTTTTCATAATTTATTTAGTCTTTAAATATCTATATGCATTGGATATCTTTATATTTCCTTCCTTTAAAAGAAAATCTTAATTAGGCACAAAAGGAAATAAAAATAAAGACATCTAAACACGTTGGATGTGTGGAATGGGATGAAATAGTTACTGACTGTTTTATATATGATCCCCTTAAAATGCCTCATTTGTAACATGACTTCTAATATCACAAGCTCAGTTAGCTTCAGATAATTAGAAAGAACACTGCACACAGTTCAGTATTCTGCTATGACTGACCAACTACACCCTTAGAATAATACAGTACCATTTCATCCATTTCTTTTTCCTGGATTAATGAGTCCTTTGCTGATAGATTTTTTTCAAATTCTTCATAATTTAAATCACCTTGGAAACAATTTTATAATAAACTTGGAGGAATGTTTTTATGATACTGAGGTTTAGTGGAAAGAGCGTTACTGTTGTTAATTTTACTTCACTCATTTAGTCAGTAATTCACTAATGTATCTGATAAGTATTCATTGGAATCAGACATGGTGGTACATCCACTGAGGCTGAGGTAGGAGGATTGTGAGCTTGAAGCTAGACTAGTCAACACAGTAAGTTCCAGGCCAGCATGAAACTCTAGAAGATAAGTCTTATTACATATGACATCTTATCACAGATGACTGTAATAAGATACACGATAGTGTATATTTAAATGCAAAGGAGGTATGTCTTAGTATCATACAGGAATTTTGGAGGCATGGGCAACTAATATCATACAAAAGAAAATTTTGAGCTGAGTTATAAAGAATGGATAAGAACTTTCCAGTTTACAAATGAGAGAAAATACATAATACAGAGATAATATAGACATACATACTACACATATACATAATAAAACATACATGTATTTAACTGTTGTGTAATGTCCTTGTTTAATAGGTAACAACAATAGAATCAACTATTTTCTCTTGGCCATGGTAACTACCAATTTAACTCTGAATACAGTTGCCTCAAACACTGAGAGCCCAGGCTGGTCTACATTCCTCCCTTCCTGGGTCTTCCTGGTATTGATTGGTCCCAATAATTGCATGTGACTAGACACTGTGGAGTGTGGGTGGCAGCAGTTCCTCTGAGCTTTACTGTGTTACTGTTTAAGGTTTGTCCGCCCTCCATTAATCATCTTCTCTGTGGATGGGTTCCGTGCATCATACATGAAGAAAGGCAGCAAGGTCATGCCTAATATTGAGAAACTGCGTAAGTCATTTCTCCACTCCATGTTTTCACCTATCCTCCATGGCTCCTAGAGCTATAGAGCATCTTTCCTTTCCTTTCCTATCCTTTCCTTTCCTTTCCTTTCCTTTCCTTTCCTTTCCTTTCCTTTCCTTCCTTCTTTATTTCCTTCCTTCCTTTCTTTCTTCCATTTCTTCTTTCTTTTTCTTCTTTTTTTAAAATACATTTTATTATTGGAAATACAAAAGGAAAAATATGTTTTTCATAGTTGAGAAAATGAATTTTATACATGAAGTGGTTCTGGATGGTTCTCTTGTCCTGACAAAGCTCATTTTCTATTTCTAGGATCCTGTGGCACACATGCTCCCTATATGAGGCCTGTGTACCCCACAAAGACCTTCCCTAATCTATATACTTTGGCCACTGTAAGTATTTATTTTCAAGTTTATACATCTTCAAAGTTCCAATCTAACCCTGGAGTAACTTTGAAGGGGAGTTATTTTTTTTTTTTAAAATACTGAACATACTTTAATTTTAAAAAGATGTGTGTTTTAAATATATTACTTGAGAATTTCACACAGCATATTTTTGTTGTATTATTTCCTGTGTCCTGACTCATCTCAGACTATTCCCCTGTCCCTATTCACCCAACTTCATGTTTTTTTTTAATCTTAAAAAAAAACCAAAACAAACAAAAGAAAAAGTCATTCAAAAACATAAAATCTGATTTGTGTCGGCCAAATCTATTTATTTATTTATTTATTTATTTATTTATTTGGTATTTGTGTGCCTGTCTGTGTTTGTGCATGTGTGCATGTATGTGTGTACCCATGTGTGTCAGAGAACAACTTTGGGGAGTCAGCTTTATTCTCAAATCTCTAAGTTTGAGGTTAGCTTAGTCTACAGAGTGAGTTCCAGGACAGTCAGGCCTACATAGAGAAACCCTGTCTCAAAAAAACAAAAACAATGAAGACCTCTGTTTGCCAGGTGTGGTGTCACAACCCTGCAATCCCAGGAAGAGGCAGGCAGATATCTGGGAGTTAGAAGCTAGCATGTTCTACAAAGGGAGTGCTAGGGCTGTAACACAGAGAAACCCTGTCTTGAAGAGCCAACTGCCCCCCAACCCCCGATAAAATACAAAATACAAAAGCAAAACAGAAAACAACCAAAACAAACAGACAAACAAAATCCCAAACCATATTCTTCAGTATTCAGAGGAAATCTGTTTCCCTTCGTTTGCCTCCATTGTTCACAGTAAGTGACACTCAGCTTGTGGGTGACGACTAAATTACACTTCAAAATTAAAACTGAGGGCTTTTCAACTTCTAAGTGCTGTTCTCAACAAACTTCCCATTAATCTCTCAACTTCTGAGAGATTAATTCATTCTGAATTTTCAAATTAGAATGTTGGTTTCAGGGCTTCTATGCTTGAGTGGTTAACAGTCCAAGTACTACCCTGTTTTTTTTTTTCTTCAAACAAAATTTTCTGTTAATTATTATTACTTTATAAGTTATTAATTTGGAGAAGAAATAGAATCATAAATGGATTTTCTTTGGAGATGTATATCCATTCCAGATAAAGTAGCAAAAATGTCTATCTTGTTAAGTCTCAGCAGTGAAAAAGTCAAATGTTACATTTATTATCATCATCTTACATTTCTAAAATGACTTAAAATTAGCTACAATTCATATGGGCAAAACCAGACTCAAAGTAAAGACTATATGTATCCTACTTGATTTGGATAATTCAATATTATTATAAAACCTATGATAAGAAAATTTATAGTAGAACTAATATATGTAGATTATTAAATTGCTATTTTAACAATAAAATCAAAGTAAAGGCTGTATGTATCCTACTTGATTTGTGTAATTCAATTTTTTTTTTGTTTGTTTGGTTTTCTGTTTTTTTGAGACAGGGTTTCTCTGTTAGCTTTGGAGCCTGTCCTGGAACTCACTTTGTAGACTAGATTGGCCTCGAACTCACAGAGATCTTTCTGTCTCTGCCTCCTGAGTGCTGGGATTAAAGGTGTGCTCCACCACTGTCTGGCTCAATGTTATTCTAAAAACCTTCTATGATAAAATTTATAATAGAACTAATATGTATAGATTATTACATTACTCTTTTAACAATAAAATCAAAGTAAAGGCTATTTTTATACTACTTGATTTGGATAACTCAATATTATAAAACTGTCTATGATAAGAAAATTGATAATAGAACTAATATATGTAGATTATTACATTGCCATTTTAACAATGAAATCACTCTTATACGAAGGGTTTATATCCAGAATCCCATGGAATCGTTGGCAATTCAATGTATGATCCTGTATTCGATGCTACTTTCCATCTTCGAGGGCGAGAGAAGTTTAATCATCGATGGTGGGGTGGTCAACCAGTAAGTCTTGAATTCTGTGTGTCTGTGAGCATTGAAACATAGTTTTTTTTCCAAAATGGGGGGGTTTTCTTCTTTTAATATTGCATGTGTATGTTTGTATGTGAACACTTTATATGTGTATATGTAATTCTATATAGTATATTTTATGGGATATATATACTTATACACATTTGGGTATATAATGTACACATATACACACATACATGCATCTATGTATGTACATGTGTGAACATAAGTTAGGATGATAAAAATGTGAGATGATAAATTTCTTCTCTGGAATGATAGTTGTGGAAATGTACTATGGGCTGAATGTCAGAGCACCTCAATGAAGGAATAATCAAATGTTACTAATATATTAAATTTGGGGATACAATACAAGAAAAAAAGAACTGTGATTTTTCAGATGTTTTGACCCTAGTGACACCATGAGCAGAAATAAGATTGGTTGGTGGAGAAAAGGAGTGCATTAAAACCCACAGGTAATTTATAGATCATTTGATTTAACCCATTTGATCATAGAAGGTAGATGGAATAAGAGGAGTCCTACCTTGGTACTGGCAGAGATTAACACTTTGCAAGAGATCCCATTGTGGACCTCAGACACATGGGCAGAAAGTCAAAAGGCTTCAGGCAGCTTCTCCTGGTATTTTTCCTGTGACTATGTATGGTTAGGTAATCTGATTTAGGCAGACATGAGAAAATTAGTGATATGAAGCCATGGTGACTGACTGTGTAGAACTGGGCTTAAGAAAGTATAAGCTGGGCCAGAAGGCTCAGAATCATCACATAGACCAGGGCGCAGTCCAGCAGAGATGTGCAGAGAAAATAGAAAATGGTTCCATCTCAGGAACCACATCTCTGGAGTGCTGGTGAGGGCGGAAGCTTGTTAAACCTCTGTACACCCCACCTTCGTGTGAGAGTAAGGTCATGTCCTCACTCATCCCACACAACCACCATGCTGACACAGCCTTGAATCTGAACATTCACTCCATAGAAGGGCAGAAGTAAGGAGTATTAAGTTAGAGATGTTTTCATAAGGTATCTCTTTCTGAGACAAGCCCGTCTGTGATCAAAATATTCATCTTGCTAAATAGGTAAATCACCATGCAAGGATAAATGTGGGCTTTTATTTATTTATTTATTTATTTTTATAAACACTGACAGACTTGCTGTATGCCCGTAGAGAAAGACTCTTTATAATAGATGTTCTGATTTTTCTGTTTTTATTCAGCCTGGATTCCCAGAAGTCTGTGATGACTTAGTTTGTGATCCCTGTAAAATTTGTTGACAGGGTGCATTTCACAAGTTTATGATAGAGGAATATTTTGTGAGTAAATAAAGTGATGGAAATGTGAGCTTAATGGGACTATTGCTAGTTGATCTTCAGTAACAGTTTGATTATGGAAGTCCACTTGCCTGAGTAGCCACAAGGGATAAGTGGAAATAAATGGTAATCTGACCTAATTGGATCACTTTACACTTGGTGTTGACACTGACTTTCCTCTGGGTTAGCATGACTCAGCATCAGACAAGTCCACACATTCATTGCCTTCTGCAGACACCCAGTAGAGAGAACCTGCTAACCTATCCCATGAAGCAAACTCTCTGTCCTGCTTTGTTGGCCTGCTTCCTCACTAGCTCTGAGTTGACACATTTGACCAAGTACCTAAGGCTTCCCACGATTTATTGTGAAATTGCTTTGTGTTTCTGTCTATCATCTTGATCAAGAGAGGAACCATGAGAATGCTAAGGACCATCATGTCTGTATTTTAAAAAACCCATTGAATAGAAATTTGACCTATACAAAGATCATGCAGACAAAAACTATAAGAAAGTATAGGCTAAGTGTAGAGCATTAGGCACTATAAGAAATGATTCGTATATATTCCTGAAGCATGTATACAAATGCTTAGGGACTTATAGATTTTATAAGGTCCCCAGGGAAAAATAATTTGAATAGAAAAATTATTTATAAAAATCTTAGACTAGAAATTCGATTTAATTTCATTCATATTTTTCTGAATGATAGCACTATGTAGGGATTTGGCTAAGTAACACAGCATCCGGATGGAACCTGGCAGATGGGATGAAGATGTGGGATGTGTTCATGGGAAATTTTGAGTCTCCATAGTAAGTTTTCAAAAAATAATTTCTATAACTGAATTTTACCTTTAAAGGTATCACATTAAGTTTGGATTTTTAATACTGTGGAGAGGTACCATTATAATGGCAACTCTTGATAAAGAAAACATTTAATTGGGGTGGCTCGTTTACAGCTTCAGAGGTTCAGTCCATTGTCATGATGGAGAGCACTGAGGCATGCAGGCAAATGTGGTGCTGGAGGAATAGTTGAAAGTGCTACATCTTGCAGGCAACAGGAAGGTGACTGACTGTCATTCTGAGGGAAGCTTGAGCAAAAGAGACCTCAAAGCCCACACCCATAGTGACATCCTTCCTCCAACAAGGCTAACACCTTTGGGGAACAATTTTTTTTTTCTCAAACCACCACAAAAAGCAACTGGACATGATTACTGTCGTCATGGAGGATTCTTTTGGTTGCCATGCACTTGCTTATGACTCTTCAAGCTCACATGTATTTTACTGGAGTCCCTTAGGGTATTTGCTTCTTTGAAAATGCTTTGATACAGTCCTGTAACTTCTGATGAAGAGGTCGGTAGAGCACTTCTGTGTCCAGTTTAGGTCTAGACTCTCAGAGGTGTGTATGGGACTCCAGGGCAGTAACTCAATCTGCAGATTGGAGAATCAAGTCAAGCCCACTTCCCCATTCAAGTCCCCTGAAGTCAAAGTTAGTGGAGTGGATGTCTTTAAGGGAGCAGATGTGTTCCTGCTCTTTTCCAGGTGCCTGGCCTTGAATTGCTTCCCACCCCTACTGGTCCAGCAGGGGCACCCATCCTTATGAAAGAATTGCAGTCTAAAATGGAGGACTGATGGGAAGTCCAAGTCATTGTCTGTTTTTCTTATCTCCTTTCCTCTGCCCCTTTCCCATACACTGTTATATACCTACAGGGTCCCCATAACTTATGTTCAATTTTGTTCTTGTTGCTGAGTATTGAACCAAGGGTCTTGTACATGATATCCTGCTGAGTTCACCTCCAGCTGCTCTTTGTCCTAGCTCTTAAGGCAGTGTTTCTCAACATGTGCGTTGCAACCCCTTTGGGGATCACATATCAGATATTTACATTCTGATTCATAACAGTAGCAAAATTACAGTTATGAAGTAGATAATTTCATGGTGTGTATGTGTTTGGTGGGGGGGGGTGTCACCACAGCATGAGGAACTGTGTTAAAGATTTGCAGCCATTAGGAAGGTTGAGGACCACTGCCTTAAGGTATTTAGGATGAGGTCTGTTCTTCTACTCACCTTGAGATACTTTGCCAGGAAGTGTTGTTCCTTTACAAACCATGGACTGGCCTCTTAGTTCATTACAAATTTTAGTTGAATTGTCTGTCTTAGGGTTTCTTTTGCTAAGATGAAACCATGTGACCAAAAGGTGAGCTGGGGAGGAAAGGGTGTATTTGGCTTAGACTTCTATATCCCTGTTCATCATTGAGGAGAGTTAAGACAAGAACTCGAAACAAGGCAGGAACCTAGAGCCTGGAGGCAGGGCCAGAGAGGTACTGTTTATTGACTTGCTCAGCCTGCTTTTTTTTTTTTTTTTTTTTGGAGAACCCAGGACCATCTGCCCAAGGGTGACCCCACATGTAATGAGTTGAATGTAGCCATAGCAATCACTAATTAAGAAATTATCCCCACAGGCTTGCCTTTATCTTGATTTCATAGAGGCATTTTCTCAGTGGAGGCTTCCTGTTCTCTGATGAGTCTAGCTTGTGCCAAGTTGACAAAAACAACTAGGATAGTATCTGTACCCAGAAAGGCCTTCTGGGTGACTGCCCAGAAAGCTAAGTGACTGCCTGTTAGCTTTCTTTATCATATGTTAGGGCAACTCCTTTTGAAATTGTCATTTACTTGTCTGCTTTGGTCTGTGGGTTGTGTGGGGATAGAGACTGGCTTATTCACTTTTTGTCTAAAGACTGAATCAAAAGGCTGCTTCAGTTGGTGCTCCATGAACCAAACTTGGGATTAACCTGTTTTGCACCTCATTTGAGACAGGTTTTACCTGTGCTTCTGTGGAGTTTGTCCTTAAGACAGGACTCCAAGGGTTGGGGATTTAGCTCAGTGGTAGAACTCTTGGCTGGGAAGCTCAAGATTTTGGGTTCAGCCCTCAACTCCTAAGGGTTAGATGGTTGTGTGGGAGGATGGGACTCTAAATATGGACCTGTAATCCTAGCTACTTGGGAGGCTGAGGTTATAAGGATTATAAGTTCAAGGTCAGCCTGGGCAATTTAGTGAGATCCCATCTCAACAGCATTAAACAGTAAGAAGAGGGTTGGGAACATAGCCCTGTGGTAGAGCCACTTTCCTTGTGTTTGTGTGGCTCTGGCTTATATCCCCTGTATGGAAAATAAAAAGAACAGAAAATAAAACAAGAAAAAACAAAGACAAAATTAAAATAACAATAAACAAATGAGTAAGTAGGGTTCCATTTTCTTAGAGTTGGCAGCTCGGGCCCCAATGTCTCTAGCTTTATTGCTCATCTGCCACTGGCTATAATTACCTGGAGGCCAATGGAGAGTTGATGGTCTGGTCTCATGCCCCCCTAGGTCTGTCTCACTATTTCCTGATTCTCAGCCCCTGATCTACTGATGAAAGTAGGGTGAGAGGAACAGAGAATAGTGAATGGGGAGCGGAGGAGAATCTGATCAAAGTCCATTGGATGTGTGAGTGAAACTGTCAACAAAAACAACAATATGTATGGAACTGGTAGTCCTACCTGTCCCTGTGGTCTCTCTAAACTTTTACCTACTCAGTTCCATGACTGCAGTGGACAGTTTCCTTGCAAAGAAATGCTTGAAGGATTATAATTGTATGCTTATGTCTTTGGAAAATATTTCTAGCTTATTTTCTTTAAAAAAAAAAATGTTCCTGTTCCTGTATCTACATACTTCATTTAATTACAAAAAGTGTTGAATTTCACATTTAACACCCTGGTTCCAATGGAGGAAGCTTCATTGATTCTTAGCATTCCTGGAAACACAGCAAGATGATACAGTCATATTTCCATTTCCCTGGTTTTTAAGATACATCATCTAGGGCACCAATGATGAGAGGTGGGCTTTTGAAGCAGAAATTTATGAGGATTTAAGGATAGGAAGTCTGCACTCAGTCAATATCTTCTTAGTTTATTTGTTTAAAAAATTTAACATAATCTAAGGAAATGCATTGGAGTTCTGAAAAATCATGATTTCCATCTCTCCCAATTCATAAGGAGCATGTCTTCTTTCTTTACTTAACAAAAATAGCACCAAAAGGTTTTTATTTTTATTTTTATTTTATTTTCTTCTTTGAGTCATCATTTTAGTGCCTTTGGTAAGTCCCACACTTCTGATCCCTGAAATATAAGATCCACATACAGGCTCTACAGAAACTGTTCTGGCAGCTTGGGATTCAATTTAAGAAATCTGTTCATGCTTCAGTCGCTGAGAACCTGCTAAACTTTGACCATGCTATGAGATTATTACATATTTTTTAACAATTTAATTTTATTATATCTAATGTTTTTGGAACATATTATCATGAGAAAATGTGTTCTGTAGTCACATTTTTCCCCCAATAATGACAAGGAGACTTATTATTAATTATGAGAGCTCAGCAGATAGCTTAGGCTTGTTTCTAACTAGCTTTTTTAAATTAATCAATTCCTATTAATTTACTTTCTGCCTTGTGGATTTATTACTTCATCTCCATAGTGCCCATCCTGCTTGCTCAGAGGCTCCTGAAATCTCCCCTTCTTCCCAGCATCCTCTCTGCCCAGAAATCCTGTTTAGCTATTGGCCATTCAGCTTTTTATTAAACCAATCAGAGTGACACATCTTCACGGTGTACCAAAAGATTATTCCACAACAGTGTTCAATAAAGCTTGTTCAAATATGGAATACTTCCACAATATAATGTTGGCATATACACTATAAGCAATAAAAGAAAAATTATGTTGGTATGGAAATTTTATATGTCATCTTTGATAGAGTATTTTTAACCTATGTATTTTTTTGTACAATTCCATATACAAGTTGTAGATTTTGGTGACAATTTCACACATATCTTGAGCCAAGGTATTTTGATTAGAGTCTTCCTCATTGTTCTCTTGTTCTTCATTTCTCATTAATTTTTTTTATGCTTTCCAACTAGTTCCCTCTTCTTTTTATGCCTTTTATTTGTTTACTCCACTGTATTTGATTAGTATTTCATGATGAGTAAATATACATTTAATTACATACATTCTCTGTTATTTACTTTTTGATCTCTTCCAATGAGGCCTCTCATTTTCTGTTATAAATGTAATCAGTATGGTAGTTACTAAGAAGGAGAGATAGTTTTCTTGCTTCTTTTTTCTCAAGAAAGACACCTTTTTGTCTTTATATTTGTCCTTGGATTTGTAATTCTCCAGTGTCAGTCTCCTACTGATGGGATCACACATGGATAATACCATGCTAGGCTAGAAACACACTTCTTGGTGTTCAAATTGTCTTAATAGCTTATGTTTTGTGTTTTTAAAAGTACAAATATGATTCCAACAGACGATTTATGGAAAATACAGAAAATACACAGAAAACTGATTCTAACGGCATGCACATGTAATCCCGTGCTGAAGAGGACTCAGAGACCAGGCAGATAGGGATCTTCAGTTATGTAATGAGTTTGACACCAGCCCGGTCTGTAAACAACTGTGTCTGAAAAATTAGATTCTGATTTTTGTCACCAGCATAAGTGACTTATTGTAAACTCTTTACATTATAGGCTAATGGGCTTGCCAGTGTACTCAGGAGAGTCATTGGTTAGGATGGGGCTTAGAGCTTCCTGAAAGTGTAGCATGTGAAGACAGCCCTCTGGTGACCTCTCTTGGCCATCCTTAGCAGGATGGAACTGGGCCAGGCCAGGTACTTGAGCATAGTCCACATGCCGGTTCTAGTCATCCCTCCCGCACATCATCATTCTTGATCTGCATGTGGGCTGTCAGAGTTGTTACCGTGGTTACTTGTTACTGTGGTTACTTGTCATTTGCACACTGTGTTTACATCCTTCCATCACTTTGAATCCTTCTACTGGTAATCTTGTACATAAGCTAAACACTATCCCTAAGACTTCCCACTGTCCAGATAATGCCACCACCAGCCTGAGTTCTATGCTATAATTTTGGAAAATGTAGGTCATCATTTGAGAAGTTCATGCTATGATTTTTCCCTTTGGCAAGCCCCATGTTGACCTTATATTTCTTATATATCAAATACTGCCTGGTACAGTTTCCTTGGAAACAGCAAGGCAGTAGCTTTTCCAGGAACTTGTTTGGATATGAATGCAATGAGCCTGTGTCACTGGAAAAAAAGTGAGTGTAAACATTGGTCCCATATTATGAGAAACAGGCCTCTTTAGGATCTGGCATGGTTTTGCGTTTGGCACAGGGTGGTTCTTAGTTTGAGTTCATCTCTTGTTGGTAGTTCTAAGGCCAGGCTAATATAAAGCCTAGGATGTATTATAAAACCTGGTTGGAACATGCCAGAGGTTACCTATAAGGCTGCTTTCCAGTGCTGGACCAGACTAAGGAGGCACTTAACAATCTGAGACCCTAAATCTTCGAGCCACCCCAGGGAACCAGATGTCCTGGATCAGGGGGATCCATGAGAATGAGGTGAGGACCACCTCCCACAGCTCACCAACACCACAGAACCCCTCAGACCTGTTCATGCTTGATGCTATTCTATTTCATGGCTTACTGGTTAGTGGCAATAGGTGTGAATCATGGATGTAGCTTTCTAGATGCTCCAAAGGGCTCTGAGACCCTTCCAGAAGTTTTCAAGCTAGTTATCTCATGCTATTTTGAAATGGTTAACCCAAACTCTTAGATCCCCTGTGCTTCCCAAGTACATATTTCTACAATAAACACATGAATAAAATAAAGATTTCTATCGCAGTCATACCCATACAATACTCCCAAAGTCTGGATGCAATGAAATGGGAAAAGGATCATATCTTGGGCTGCAGTCCCTGTCATGAATTCCCCTTCTCTTCCTTTGTGAGGATTTCTTCCCACAGACTTCTAGTGGGACACTTGCCACCGTAAGCTGTTTTTAATGCTCCTGGGGTAAATGGATTCCATTGATTTTCACTATTGTGTAATAACAAAAGACAGACGTAGACTGTTTACCAATGCTAAAACACTGGCTTAAGGATTTTAAGTGAATTAACTCATTAAAATGTAGCATCATTCTAGTGCTAGAAAAATCCATCTGCATTGTGAAGGAAGTCAGAGCACAACAGGATGGAGTAACTTTCTTGAGGGCCATGCTATTCAGTGATGGAAGCAGGAGTCAGGGTCCAGGATGCAAAGGTGAAAAGCCTGACTTCTGAACTCTTTCTTCATCCACTTCTTATCAGCATAAGCTATAGAAATAATAATAATAATAATAATCATCATCGTCATCTCACTATGTATCCTATGCTTATCTTCTTGCCTTAGAGTCCCTAGTATTGGGACTGCAGTCATACATCAATGGCTTCTTTACAGACAATATTTAAAAATATTCTTCATGGAATGCTATATTCATCCAACTTATCCCACAGACTTTCCTCTAGAACCCCATTTACTAAAAAGAAAAAAAGGCTAAGTGGACAATATAAAAGATAGTTTTAAAAGTAGTTCTTTTTTTTTTTTTTTAGTTCTTTATTTTTCCCCTCATTCATCTACTTTTAAGTCAAACATGACAAGCCAGATTTAATGATTTTAACATCTGGGTACCAAATTGGGACTCCACTCCATAAGGCTATCAGTAGTAAAAGAAACATATGGTCTATCCCTGCATCCTTTGATGAGCAGAATTCCGCCCCATCAATGCTTAAAGCAGTTATCAGAAAAGACAAATATAGGAGACTTTGGTGATGAAATAAAATTGTGAAAGGTCAGTAGCATCACAGCAAGGGTTTTGAGAACTTTTGCAGAATATGTATTGAATAACATTATGGAAATAATGAGTCTAACTTCCAGACATGGGGGAAAAAAAGACTGGAAATCTTGTGAAATTTATGGTGGGCACAGATAGAATATAGCATATCAGAACTAATGTATTTTAGTCTTTTCCTTCCTTAACCAGGACTCTGAATGTATTATAAGCCTTTTATATTTTCCTCATTAGCTATGGATTACAGCCATCAAGCAAGGGGTGAGAGCCGGAACATTCTTTTGGTCTGTGTAAGTTACCTTTATTTTTGTCAATGTTTATAAAATGACAGTTATTGTTCAATTTATGAAACATCAATTTGGTCAACTTCATTTCAGCTATATGTAAATATGTCAAATTTATTGATTCAAAAGGAATTTTTGAGGTGATTTTTTTCCTCGAAGGTTCTTTCTGTGTCTCCTTAGTTCTTTTTTTCATACTTTCCCTCCTTTCTCTCCTCCATTAGTTAAAGAGTATTTTCTCTCTGACCTACCCTTTAGATCTTTTATCTCCTTAACCTTTATTTTAGCAACTTTTCATCCAGCAATTGCTGTAGTTTCTGCTACCATTCTTTATAAATCTATTACAAACTTCTGTGTTTATTTTGTTTGTATTTATTTATTTTGATTCCCAACTTTAAACATGTTGTGTAGCTCCAGGCAGTTGGGAAGCTGATGGTGCTATAGTCTGGGAGTTCTCCATAGTAGACCAGGGTCAGCCGGGGAGATTTCCATTTTTATCCTACCAAACTTTTCAAATTTCTCTAGTAAGAAAACGGGACTGGTTATCCCTGCAGAAGTAACTGAAGTTTACCCAAGAAAGTTGTCAATGTGTTGATTATTTTTAAGGCTCTTTAAAGAAGAAAAGGGGATCTGGTTTGATGTTCAAGGGGATTTTATTCCCTGCATGATGTTCTTTCCATTTTTTGTTTCTTTTCTAACCACCTAAAGCTGTTTTCATGACTGCTTTTTATGCTTTAACAAAAAGTCTGTACCATTGTATTAGCAGCAGTGTGCTGAGTGAGAGCCATCATGGGTTAAGACTGACCCAGGACAATGCTTTTTGTAGACCCCAAATTCAGGAATAGAGGTAGCTGACTCAAATCTGAAAATCTGAGGGTTCAGATGAAATTGCTGTGGGTGATCTGAAGGTAAGACGGTGCCAATTTAGAGGTTATTTTTTTTTCTTTTCTCTCTCTCTTTCTTTCTTCCTTCCTTCCTTCCTTCCTTTCTTTCTTTCTTTCTTTTTTTTTTTTTTTTGTGTGTTTTTAAAGCGCTCTCTATGTTAAGGGGTAAGTACGCCTATGTTACAATTTGATGCTGCTTACTGTTAAGTGGCATGTTATTTACCAAGTTAATCTTTCATGGCTCAGGTTTTAACCCTTGGCTCTTACAGATGCATGTGGGAATTCTGCTGTACAAACCATGCGCCTAGCTAGCAAAATGGAGAGGACCCAACAACATAATTAATACTTAGTCCACACCCTTACCCTCCTGGAATTGTGGCAGTTTCCTTGAAAAGGCCCAGTGTTCTGGCTTTGAATGACAATTCTCTCCACCATTTGAAACCACTTATAAGGTGGCTTTTTGTGTTCCCAAGCTGTCTTTGCTTTTCTAGCTCTTCTTTTCTCTCCGTGTCCTGGAAGTGAATGGGGTCATCTACTCCCAGCCCTCATCCCTTTGAAGCCTTTTTATCACTTTATAAAATATGGTCAGGCTTCTCATTTTTGTGGGGAATGTATATCAAGGGAATCTACATATAGTCCATTTTGAAAAATTTTAAATTTAAATAAAACCAGATTCAAACCCTAGGTTTAGAGTGGTTTAGAGTTTAAAGACCCGTCCTTTTAACATGGTCAGGTATTGCCTTCTAGAATTTTATTCTTGCTTTGTAAATGATAGTATTTCATTTCAAAATCATCCCCAGCTGACAGTGCATTTTATTCTTTTGTTTCAATTCCTTCTCTGAGGCAGTAATTCCCATTATATATTAATGTTTAGATTGAATACAATCCTAGGTCGGCTACTTTTAAGGCTACTGGCATTGGGCACTGACCATGTCAGCAAATCAGTGTTCTCATCTTTAAGTAGGAATTGTCATAAGGGTACTGCAGAGACACAATGAGTTCTTTTTCTTAGAACACTTTATTAGGTTCCTTGGTACAGAGATAACAGCCAATAACTGGCATTTGTTTTTTGTTTTTGTTTTTCTAATTCTCATTGTCTTTAAACAGTGATTAGACAATGTAGCCCCCTCCCTACTAAGACCTTCATTTCGTCCTTCATTTTCTGGTTTTTGCTTTTCTTTTTGTGACTGTGTCTTCTGTACTTGGTCTCAAGGTTAATTCTTCTTCAGTCAGGGGTACTGAAGACAATGACACATCCTATTTTCCTTGCTGCTTAGATATTTGCTGTTCTTGATCAAGTTATTCGAAATTCTCTGCCTTGTATTTGAGACACTAATGGCTAAGGACCAAAGAACTTGTTTTTAAGACAGCATTTCTCTGTGTGTAGCCTTGGCTCTTGCTCTATAGACCAGATTGGCCTCAAACTTGAAGAGGTCCACCTGCCTCTGCCTCCCAAGTGTTGGGATTAAAGACATGTGCTACCACTTCCTAAAACACAGAAAACTTTAGACACTACTTTGCCCAACTCCTTAATTATAGGCTTAGAACATTAAGACTTAGAGTTGTTAAATGTGTCCAAGGACACACAGAGACCTCCAGAATCTTCATTGCAGCACACACAACGCTAGGCAGGGGTAAGGGATGGGGTTTTTACTCCAGAAATGATGAAAAGACTCTATGCTTTTCCATCACAAGGAGAGGGAGATGATTTCTCCACCAGAGTCCTTTTGGTGGAAGAATCTTGTTGCCTTGTGTTTATATACAGGCCTTAATGGCACTGTACCTTTAATAAACATTTCATGAATGTACTCTCTATAGACCTAGAAATCCAGTACATGATTGTATAAACTAGAATTTTGTTTTTGAATGTAACATTTTATTAACTCTTAACTCTGACAAAGTCATATAATATATGTTGATTATGTTAACTCCTCACCCTCTCCCAGACTCCTCCCAGATCCACCCCTCCTCCCCCACCATTTCAACCTCATGCCATTTGCTTTTTTTTAAACCTACTTACCAAGTCAGTCCACTTGATGCTGTTGATGCTGCCTATGTACTCATGGGTGTGGGGCCATTCAGCGTGGTTTGACCTACTACAACCTCAAAGAGAACTGATTCTCCCTTAGACGCCATCAGCTATCAGAAGCTCTTCAGTTAGGAGGAGAGGCTGGTCAGCCCCTTTCCCTCCATTCTACAGCATTGATTGGCTTGATCTTGTAAAATCAGCATTTTCCTAAACTCTTTCTGTGAGCCAGGAACTGTTTTAAAGCATTTTCCATACATTATCTCTTTGCAAACTTTCAGTAACCTAAGGAATAGGTACTGCTACCAGCATTTTGCAGAGGCACCTTGACAAAATCTCATCGCCAGTGCTTATGGGAATTAGGATTCAAACCCTGGCCTTCTGCCCTCCAGGCTGGTGTCTTTGGGTCTCTAGAGTTGTTCACATACCCCATGCAGCAAAGGTGTTAAATAAAGAGTGGAGACTCTGAACATTACATTTGTTCTGTTATGTTGTAGTTCTCCACTGACCTCAGGAGTAGGTTCATTAGAGTCCATATTCGTGGTGTGACACCACATACAAAATAAAGCAGCTTTCAGGTAGGTGAGGAATAAGGTGACATGACTGGCCCGAGGCACTGGCTTTTTTTTTTTTTTTTTTTTTTTTTTAATCTATGTAAGTTAGGAAAGAATTCAAAACATGCAATTAAAATTATTTTGTTCAGATAAACAGATTTCTAAGGCTAAGGGATTAAATTCCTTAAGTGATTAGCCTGGCTTTGCTTCATCTATTTCTATGTCACTTACAGGACACAATAAACAGTGCCACATGTATTCAATGTCATTGGAATATATTTAGAGCCGAACTCTAAATATATTTTGCAGTCAGCGTGATTTTCTAGTCTTGGAGGACATCTCTAGACAGAGGGGATGCTCTAGAGAGGAGAAACAAGTGAGCTAGTAGGATGGGTGGCCATGGCAGGCACAGAGAGACGGTTTCTAGCCCTAGCCATTTATCATGTTTGTGATGATTTATCTTTCTCCCAACCCTTTTGCTGATGTCCCCTGAGAGTAAAGGTTTAAATGGTCTACCCAGTAATTTTCCTCACCACGATGGAAATAGTGTTACTTTGGATTCGTCATGAATTTGCCTCTATGGCCTGATCTTAGAGAAGAAGGACATTTTGTGTTCCTTGTTGGGGAAAACTAAGTGATTCTTTCTCAAGTCAAAATATTGCTTAGCTTGTGAGCATCATAACAGCACTGAGCCCAGGATGTCATCCTGTGTTATCCAAGAGCTCCTAATGCTATTGCCAGGCCTATGGTAATTATGTTCAACAGAAGAATGACAACTTAAACACAAAAGCCTTTGTGGATGAAGATTATAGCCCTTTGGTCAGTCTCATAATTATATGTGCCTGCTCTTGACAGATTTTTATAAAGCTAGAAGAAAATGTTAAGAGTACTGTCACTAACCCATTATTTTATAGAGGAGGAACTTGAAATTAGGGGTTAGATGATGTTTGCAAAGCCATGGCTATTTGGAAGCGGATGGATATCTAACTATGATCATTGATAAAGCAACATTTAATTTGAGTTTTGAAAATAATTTTTTTAGCAGTCACTATATGTTAAGCACACTATGTGTGCCCTTCCCTTGCAACTCAAGGTGCAACCTTCTTTATTGTTATAGTTATCACTTTGATGGGCAAATTGAGGCCAAGAGAGGCTTTGAGGTCCATAGAAGTCATATTGCCAGCCAGAGGTCAATGCTGGAAGCCATATGCCACAACAAAGCCCTAGACCCATTAAACAACACTGGTTTTTAAAGCCAGGCTCCTTTTCCCTGGTAGCAAAGTTTCTGATCAGTAAGAGAGGTTCTTCACTTTGGTCATGAATCAGAGTTTCCAGCCCAGTCATTCATAAAAGGGGTTGAGCAATAAAATAGGTGGGGGGCAGAGATGGAAGTTTAAATACTAATTCCAAAGAGGGCCCTTCGTTGCCATGAAGTGAAAACAGATGGTGGGGAAGAGAGAGCTTTGGCTTGGGTGTTAAGAGCAGGCGCTTTTTGGGCTTGGCTTTTTGGGAATGAAGCTTGAGGATTTGCTTTGTTTTTACACCCTTGCAGGACCATCCCTCATGAGCGGAGAATCCTAACCATCCTACAGTGGCTTTCACTGCCAGACAATGAGAGGTATCTATTCTCACGTGTACTTTCTTCAGTACATTTCCATCTCGGGCTAGCGCTGGACAGAACTCTAGATGGACGGTGACATAGAAGCATGGCCGGGGACAGATGTTATTGGAAGCTTTGTGGTTATTAAACTTTATTTCCTTATCAAGTTTTGAGTTACTGGGGACCATTTAATTCCATAGATTACTCCAGCTGTTAATCTTGCTGACCTCAGTATATCTGAAGCGAGTTGTTGGCTTTGATAAAGGAATCAATCCACAGCAGCTCAAGGATTGAAAGGCATTAAGACTGAGGGCTCCCTTGAATATAGTCAGTCTTTACAGTTCACACATTTCATGGCCTGCAGCAATCACGGTATTCCGCTACTGAAGGATTAGAGTCCTCGTGATGCTCATTTTTTTTTTTTTTCATTGTGACTTTTAATCCTGTGAAGTGGTACCTGCAGTTACCACGGTGGAGAGTGGTGTGGAGGTATAGAGCAATGGGTGAAGAAGTAATGGAAAACAGATATTTCCATGGTAATACTAATAGTGGGGGGGGGGGCGCTAAACCTGACGGACTTTGTTTTTAAATTAGTTTTTTAGGTTAACATTCAAAGTGATGGGTTTCATTATGGTATTTGTACATATGTATGTATGTATGTATGTATGTATATGTATATGTGTGTGTGTGTGTGTTATTATGCTTTGCTCTCTTTTATTTCCTTCCCACTGCATTTCCTGTGTGCCCCCTGACACCCTTGAGGGTTTTTTTGTTTTTGTTTTTGTTTTTTGTTATGTGTGATGTGCTGTGCTCTGTGTAGCCTGGGGTTGACTGACTTTGGTTCTGATTTTCCCACAGGCCTTCAGTCTATGCTTTCTATTCTGAGCAGCCTGATTTCTCTGGACACAAATATGGCCCTTTTGGCCCTGAGGTTAGTAGCATATCATCTGCCACCTAATTCCCAAAACCTTATTTCAGGATTTGTTCAAAGCCTGGGAGTCTTTAGATCTATCTACAAGGCGTGAATAATGTCAAATAATTTCAAGACTAAAACCTTAAAAAGAAAACTTGAATATATTTGTTTCTCTTATAGGAACTTCATTTCAGATTGCTTTGGTATGGAAACATATCCTAAACATGGTGTTATAGGAGTGGAGGGATTTCCAGCCTAGAAGACATTAGTGGAACAAGGTGAAAGTTTGGCCACCAGTGGGATAGGACAGAAGGAATCTATGAGACTTCTGATATGCAAGAATCAAAACTGAATCTCAACTCCTTTAAAGTGATTACACAGTTCACAGAGGAAATTTATTTCACCAGCCCCAGTAGACTTAGCATATAGGATTAACCTGACATGTAGCATAGTAGACACACATCTTATGGGGTATTTGGATGGAGTTGTTTATACTGTGAAACCATAAGCACTCCCAAGGCTAAAATGAGCTCTTAAATGGCAGAGATTCTGCACTTGTGGCATGTGGCTTATGGTGATACCCTGGTCACACTTAGCCATTCCAGTAGAAGACAATCTGTAAGGTACAGTTCACTCTAACATCACATTCAGGAAATGGTTGCCTATTATTGTTTTGCATTCATTTAAGATGGGATTCCTCCTAACATTTCAGCATAGATCATTTGAAATATGATAAAGTCTACAAGTCAAAAATTTTAAATAGTGTAAATGTTTTCCATTTTGACCCCATGGGGCATAGAGGTCACACAACAACGTGAAACTTGATTTGAGCTGAGTAAGTTGTTTTAAAAGTCTTGGTTGATGATTGCATTCTCCAATTCTCTGAAAGCCTGTGGTGGCACAGTTTCTCTAACTAAATTCACTGCATTCAGCAGATACGTTAGAGATGCAGATAAGCATATTTTGATTTAAGCAGTTTTAAACAAGTTGTTCTATGTCTAAACAAAGGCAGTGAATATCAAGAAGCCAAGAGGATTTCTGAATGCCTCAACATCAATTCAGTGTTTGGTAATTTTTTTTTTTAAGCACTAAGAACTGATAACTGGGAAATCATTCATAGTTTGTCCTGAATTCCGGAAGTCATATAAATCTGAGTCTCTTTTTATCCTTTTGATGTTTAAGCACTATTGCATGATTATGAAGCACAAATGATAAAACAAGATAAACATCTGCATATATGACACACAAAAAAGCAAGGGTGGCTGTTTTATCTTTGGGAAGACTTTCTTTGAGATTAATCTAAAATGAACTAAAGAAACCAGATTTTATTAAAATGTCAAAAAAAAATTCACCCACTAAACACCTAACTAGTTCCATGTGCTCTATTAAAAAGTTCAACTTTGTCTGAATAATATCCCTTAAAAGAAAAAAACAGGAATTGATATTGATATAGCCACTCTTTTGAAAGTTGATGCTGGTACTTAAAGAGGTTGGAGGCTGTTTAAGTTCCTTGAGAAGTGGAGGAATTGTGGTAGACTCCCAGACCATGAATCTTCTTCCCACATAACCACCCAACCTTCCTATAGGGGATGAGTGAAGAACATTAATAACTGTGTTCAAATTATAGGAAACATCATCAATGTGGCAAGAGCTGGCTCTTAAAAATACACATGAATCATAACACACTTAATCCCTTAAGTCATATAGCTTAGCTATAATGTTGTTTTCCAAGGATGTCTCTGGGTTTGTGATGTGTGTAGTTTCATTATAGCTACCTTGTAAAAGGAGATATATTTTGAGTAAGAAACTACCCAGTTGTTTGGAAGTGCTGAGCAATGACTAAATGAAACAAAGTGTAGAATGCTTTAATTTGGTATAATGATGGTTTCTATGTCTATAATTGGGTATAAAATACAAGCTTCTTGCCCCATAGTGTATTTGAAATAAGACTTGTAAGTATCCTCATTATGTTCTTTTCAGTATTGGTAGTGAGTACTGCTGGAGTTTTTGTCCCTGTCTGCTGGGTAAACATTATTAATTGTATATGTTGGCATATATGATAGCCTGACCACATTCTTCTCATGAAGAAAAAGACATTTTCAGATTTCAATTATTTTTCATATGTTTCTAAGTAATATCTCCTGAAATCAAGACAAAATGGCTTTGGGTTGTTAAAATAGAACCAAAGCAAGCCAGCAAAACCTTTCTTACGTCATAAGCTTGACTGGCTTATGTACCTGAATACCATAAACACACACACACACACACACACACACACACACACACACACACACACACACAAATACATACATACATACATAAACACACACACATGCATGTATCATCATTGATCATTGATCTTAAGTAGGCATGAGAGCACTATATACACTAGATCACTAGATGAAAGGTTAAAGTTACATGCTTTATAAATAATTTTATAAATAATAAGATTTTATAAATAATAAGAAATGAACTTGTGTTTGAAATTTAATTGAAATGATTCCTAATGAGCAAAAAGTACAACAAGATGAATTCAGTTGATGTTTGTGGTTTATTTGCTTAATATTTGAGTACACTTGTTTTTCAGGGTGAGTCTCAAAAGCTATTAACTGAGATGGCCAAACACGGGGCTAACAGTTTGGAGAAATGGTGTATGCTCCTGGTTTCATAGTGTAATGGTGAATGTTCAAAATATGCTTGCTTTGGTGATTGGCACCATCTCTGTTTTCTCTTTGACCTGTGCTTTCTCTGTGACCTCTTGTGCGGCTGCTCTTCTGAGCCTAGAGGCAGAGCTTTGGCTGGCTGGTCCCTACCTTCAGATGGCAAAGAATCCTTCTGAAAAGCAGGGAAGATTGCACCCCCCTTCTCCCATCCTCTGAATAACCTTAGACTGAAACTTCTAAATTCAGGCTGAAGTATGGCTGGTCAATGAAAACTTAGCTTTCATCTATCTCTAACATTTGAAGAAAAGGGAAGCGTGCCTTTGTAATGACTGGATGAAAACTCAGTTTGCTTAAACTCCATTCCTTCTGCTCCTCTAACCTGCTGCAATTGGAAGGGTTCTCTTTGGGTGTCTCTGGAATGTTGGAGTCTTTTTGCAAATGGCCTAGAGTTTGATGGGCAGACTTGAGCGCTCACAGAATGTACTCGGTGACCATGACATGGAAAAACCCTCTTCCCTCTCCTGCTCTTCTCATGGAGATTTGCCTAAGCTAGAAGCATTAAAGCCAAAGCAAACCAAACCTAAGTCTATGGGGCTGTGACTTGTGATTGCTCTGCCAGAGAGAGACAGAGATCGGGTGAGACAGAAAGAGAAGTGCTCTTGCAGCTGCTTGCTGTGGGGACGGAAGAACCGCATGGCAGATGTTCTCCTTGGTTACACTAACACTGTGCCTCTCTCTGCCCCTGCCTGCATTCCAATGGCTCTTGGAACAGTCCTGCCAAGAGATAAGGCAGCTAGGTAGAAAGCAGGGCCTGCTGCTTTAATTCACCTTTGCACCATCGGCAAATCAGGGGCTGGTTTTCTCCAGCACTCGAGGCTCCTCTTTCAGTTGATGGTTAGATGTTGATGCTCTCTAGATTTCCAAACGACACTTAGAGAATCACTGTTGCCTCAGACAGAGAGCCGGCTTCCCATAGCAAGAGTCTGAGTGGAGTCCTTCTTCAACACTCTACCTCCATGAAGACATCTCAGAGACGTTTCATAGTTCTAGGTTTCAAAGAGGATTTCTAAACACACTGTCCTGTGTTCCTCTTCCCCACTGAATGTCCTGATGTGTAGAGTTCATTCAGGACCAATGGAGACTGAAATGTTATTTGTTTCATTTTGTCCTTGGTGGAACATGCAAGGTGAGAACCCTCTGATGCATTTGGTGGTGTGATCAGATAGACGTCCACCAGCTGTTGAATTGGAACCACGTACACGAACCTCATTCTCCTCTTGAAGTGACCAAGTGACCTTGGCTTTGCTTGATTACAAGCTAGTGCTTCATGCACAGAGAGCTTTCTGTAACCAAGGGATAGTCTCTCCCCAGCACAGGAATCATGGAGCTTGCCCAGTGTCACTTCCAGACGTATCTATCTATACACGGGCTTCTCAGCCAAAGTCACTATGACTAGATCCTCTGAAATCATATCTAGCCATCAGCCATGGAGCTGTGACCACAATGAAACCCAGATCAGAGGCTTCTCTCTATAGAGGGCCCTGAATCACCTCTAGCCAATGTGTTCTCCCTTAAGGAGAACTTAGTCTTGCTAACTCAGACTCTGCTGACCCCAGATGGAAAGGTATGAGCTTTACTATCTGACCCAGAGGGACAGACGACTTCTGAGTGCAGACATCTCTATCCGCCAGCACAGGAGAGTAGTTATGGCTCACCTCTTACTCCGGCTAAAAGACCTAAGAGGAAAGTTGCCCCTAAGAGGAGACAGGAAAGACCAGTTGCTCCTCCAAAGAAAAGAAGAAGAAAATTACATAGGATGGATCCTTATGCAGCGGAAACACGTCAGGACAAAGTAAGTTTATCTACTGTTCCAAACCTCTGCGGCGGCCAGGTCTGGCTCAAAGGCTACTTTTGGTGCCTTGGTTTGAAAATAGTCTGGGTGAGGTTCAGGAGAACTGGTATGTTGTCGTTGGCTTCGAGTTCAGGGCCATCTGGTCCATTGGGGGTTAACAGTGATGTGAAGACATCTTAAACTCTGAGTAGGATAGGGGCAAAAAGGAGTCTTTTATCTTCTTTAAAGTTAGTTGACCCCCCCCCATGCATGTTGCCATTTAAGCTGGAGTGACAGTTTGGAGGACTGTTGTTTCTGCTTGAAAAACAAAAAACTGTCACCATGTTTTGTGGTGCTGCCTCTTGAGAAGAATCTCAGAAAGTAGCAGGGTGTGTGTGTCTTTTAAAACAATGTAGATTAGAACACTCACTTTAGTGCTGTGTACTTTTTGAGACTCGCAGAGGTCTTTGTGGATGACAGAATAGTGGAGACAGCAGCAAGGAGGAATTGATGGGCAAATAGAGCTGCATATTTTTCTCAAAATGATAGTAACAAGATTTACTTTAACAATTACCTTCAAAAGAACCTTTGCTTATTCATTTCCTTAAAGCTTTCAAATTCCTCTGAGGCATATTCTTCTTTACAAACCCAATTGCTAAGAAGTAGGTTCTGGATTTTACCTGAATTGTTCCGATGAATAAAGGAAAATCGCTCACTTCCAAGGATAGACATGTGTTATGCATTTTGCCTTTCCATGTCTAGACACCGATCTTGGAGGACAATGTGTGTTTCTCAGACAAATACCTCTTAGTCTCACATCTGTTAGTCCTTTCAGGTTTTGTGGCACATTTCCTTCTGCAACTTTCAGTTGTGACTTGGAATGCTGATGCCTGTCATGAAGAAAAAAAGGCCTCCACCTCTTTGCATGGGTGAAATGATACAAGGAAAGGTCTTGAATCATCTGAGAAGATTCAAGTGGCAGCTGCCATAATGTATTTGATTGGAGGTGATGCTCAGGTCTCTTGATTTCATCTTGGTTATCTTGGATGTGCATGTGTTTGGTAACTAAGCTGTAAAATCCATCTGCTGTACCATGTTTGATGTGAGGTTTCATAAAAATCTTTCCATTTCTTTGTCAGATGAGTCTAGGGAGGCAATCCTATGCACATCTGGGCTCTTGGGACTCCTGTTGAAGCTACAGTAAGAGATGGTGGATTAAGTTTCTTGGGCTTTGAAAATGTTCCTCCTAGAAGAATCGGGAGTTTGTATTTCATTAGTCTAAACAGAACAAATTTTGTGGTTCATTTTTGTTTGTTGGGATCATCGATCCTTATTTAATGTTTGAAGAGTGAAGTTGAGAAGCAGTAGCCTGTCCTTAGGGCAGCTTCATCTACAGGTGACTGGTTGCTCTCTGAGGTAGGCAGTTAGGATCTTTGGAACAAGTGATGAATCCTATTTTAATAATGATGTTCTAAACTTAATGCTTTTGATTCTCTCAGCTACTCTCTTTTTTAGCTCAAAGTCTTGTGATTTTACACAAGGAACAAGGGCTTTCCGCTCTCCATCTGACTTTCTATTCACTCTTAAAACTCTTGGATTTAAAAAATGCATTCATATTTCAGAAAAAGCCATTTTGTGCCTCAAAAAGAATTTGCCTCAGCAATTTGTGATTTTCACATCAAAATATTTCAAAAGGGATGCGCTAAGGAGACTGTTTTTTTGACTATTTACATTAAAAAAAAAAAAAAAGGAAAATGGTGGGAAACTATTCTCCGGACAAAACTCTGTCTCTGGGCCAGAAGTTTTCTTTCCAGAATGTTCTAAGAGTAGAAGAACTATGGAAGTTGAAAGGCAAAAACACATAAATAAGTATATGAGGACTAACTTAACTTTTTACAGATGACAAATCCTCTGAGGGAGATTGACAAAACCGTGGGGCAGTTAATGGATGGACTGAAACAACTCAAGCTGCATCGGTGTGTGAATGTTATCTTCGTTGGAGACCATGGTAAGTCTTCATTTTTTTTTTTTTTTTTGTTCTCAGAATTCAAAGTTCTGTTCTTAATTTCTTTCTTTCTTTCTTTTTCCCCCTTTTCTTCAGGATAGAGAAAAAAATTAGGTTATGATACAAAAGTTGGAGAGCGCCAGGGATTTCTGCATCTTCCTGGTCTTTGTAGGGGAGGCCTTTCTATAAAACTCTGTCTCCTATTACAGTGTCACAGACAACTGACACATGATATTAATGACTTCCTCTATGACTTCCACATAGCAGGTGACAGCCTCCTGCCTCTGTGAACCACATCTCCAAAAGGAGCCCATGGAGTTTATGTAGTTAAAATAGTAATTTTAAATGTTTGAAGAAGGGCAGAGATGTAAGGGTCTTGTCAAAGTATGACATGTAAATCAAATGGTTTCCTGGAGTTCTCAGAGGGAATCCAAGGTCCAAATCAAGGCCTCAACATTGAAGACCATTAAAAGAGGAAGAAGTAGTGTAGGAAGTGGCCTGCTCTCTCCCTCCCTTCTTTCTTTACTTGCACACACACACACACACACACACACACACACACACACACACACACACACTCAGCTCTCCCCCAACTCCTTCTATATCCAACTGAACCTCCCCACCTCCTCCCATCCCATCCTTATATCCTCGTTTTTTTTTTTTTTTTTTCTTTCTACATGACCAAGTAAAATTTGTGCTACTTATATATTCATGACTATGGGGTCGTCTATTGGAACATGGTAGTTTTACCAGGGGACACATCCTTAAAGAAAACTGATTCTCCTCGCCTAGGCTTATCAGCTGTCAATTGCTTTTCAATTAGAATGGGGGCTCATGATCTCTTCTCCACTCATCATGGACTGTTGACTGTCTTGATCTTGTTCAGGCAGCCACCGATGCTGTGAGTTCTTGCAGTGGTCCTGTCATGTCCAGAACATGCTGTTTCTCTCTTGTCCTAACTCCAATCTCTAGCTCTTATGCTCTTCTCTGCCTTCTGCAATGGTCGCTGAGCCTCAGGGAAAGGGTTGTGATAAAGATGTTCCATTTATGGCTGAGCACTCCACAGACACTTACTCTCTGCTTCTTGACAAGGTGTGGGTTCCTGCATTAGCTTTAGCTGTTGTCTGTTGCACAAAGCATCATTTATCTATAGGTATAGAAATACAAATTTAGAGGGCAGTTGGATACTATGTCCTCTTAGCTAAATAATAATAGCAGGTTTACCCTTGGGGCTTATAAGCTCATTAACCATGTATTTTTGGCCAAATTTACAGTGCCAGACAAGTGCCTCCTCCTATAGAGCAGGCCTGAAATCCAAACAGAGAGTGATTGATTACTCTCATAACATTCATGCCACTATTACATCTATGGGGCTTCTTGCCACAGTGGTCATTGTAGTTCACAGGGTTCATAGCTAAGTAAGACTGTTGATGACTGTTTATACCCCCAGCCTACCTAGCACCTTCCAGTACTATGAATTGTAGCAGGAATCAGCTTCATATTCAATATCAGCTTGCTTTTCAGAGAGTATTTTTATTCATAGACAGGAAGACTCAGTTCTAGAGAGTACCACCTATTTTCTGAAACTATCAAACTGAACTATAATAATGTTCTTGGAATTTGGGGTTGTTCCCATCTAGTAGAGTGTTTTAAAAATATTGATTGACTTCTTAGTATTCTGTTAATAGTAGTTAGTAAATCTCCTTAGTTATGTTTTGGCTTCTGAAATTTTATTTCCAGAGCATTCTAGAAGATCTGAGAAAGTGGGCGAGGGGTGGGTTTGTGGACATTAATTTGCTTCTCTGAGTAGATTAAATGACACCCTCTGCAAGATCATTCTCTACTAGCTTGACTCAGTGGAAAGCGGCAGACAGGGTGGAAAATGGGAGCATGTGACACACTAACTCCATTTAAGTTGTGCAGAAGTGTGGAGAGCATTTGCTCACATGCTGGAGGCAGATTTCTAAGAAGTAGATGGTCCCAGGGAGTTACATGCCAGAGCACCATAAAGGTTATACACAGAGTAAAACCCTTTCTTAATGTGAAGACTGCTAAATAAATGGACCCATTGGTTCTGGGAAGCCAGGGCACCTCTGTTCTGAAAGGTATCTTGCCTGGTGTTTCTGGCCCTGGGTTTTGACAGAATGAATTTCTGTGGAGCTCAGATTACACCATGACTCTTATGTAGTCTGTATGCACTCTGCCTCTGCAAATCTCAGCTATCTCATCTGTATGTAGAATAAGAACACGGACTCCACACAGAGAAAATCAGTCAGGAGGGAAGCGGGACATATTATTTTAGACAAACCCTGGGCACATTTGCCTGGTGTTTTCTGCAACCTAGGGAGATTGCACTATGTTGGAACTTTTGAGGTGACTGTCAAAATGTAACAGTCGAAGATTCTTTCTATCTTCCATTCATCTGGGTTTGGAGATTTTTTTTTTCCCTTTCTGGGATAACATTTTGCTAGAACACATAGCTGTTCATTATTTTTTACCTTTTTATCCTGAAAGCTTTGATGTTAAAAGAAATGACATGTTTGGTGGTGGTGGTATATGCTGGGTAATGGTGGTGCATACCTTTAATCCCAGTGCCCAGGAGGAGGGGCAGGTGGATCTCTGTGAGTTCAAGGCCAGCCTGGTCTACAATGAGTTCCAGGACATCTAAGACTACACAGAGAAACCATGTTTCAGAAAGAATAAATAAAGAACGGACTTTTAACAAAACATATTATGATTGTGTTATGTTAAAATATCTTTTACTCCTTCTTCATACTGATTGATATTAAAAACTATAAAAGAGCCAATGAGATGGTTCAGTGAGTAAGGGGGTTTGCTAGGTAAGCCGGTGATCTGAGTTCAGTCGCTGGAGTCCACAAAAAAGGTACAAAGAGAGAAATGACTCCATTGAGTTGCCCTCTGACTACCACATGTATACTGTAGCACCCCTTAAGAGGCATATGCACCATAATAGCAAAAAATAATTTTAGAAAGAAAAGAAGAAATAGATCTGGGATCTTCAAAAGTGGTTGCTTGAATTTTACCAGATCTAGGCCACTCTGGATTGCATTTCTTCACTCTAAATCCTTAAGACCATTTACAGAATCATTTATTTTCCCTTTTAGAAAATATTAAAACTAGGCAGTTCAGTGGTCTTGATCCAAGGAGAATATGTTCTATGACTCCTAGTAGACGCCTGCAATTGCAGTTAGTACTTAAGCTTGTTAAGTCTGCCTTTTCTGATACACTTGTAATGATAAGATACAATTTATAAATTAGATATAGTAAGAAATTATCAACAATCACTAGCAATAAAACACATCAATTAGCTTGGCAGTGGTAGCACAGGCCTTTAATACCAGTACTCAGGAGGCAGATGGAGGTAGATCTCTGTGAGTTGGAGGCCAGCCTGGTCTACAAAGAGAGTTCCAGGACAGCTAGAGCTATACAGAGAAACCCCATCTTGAAAAATCATAAATAAATAAATCACATCAATTAGGAGAGTATGCTGTAAAAAGCTATGTGAATATGATCTCTCTTAGCTACTGTGTAAATACATTGGCTAAATGTTCCAACTTGAGCAAAATGGAGCAGGGTAGCCATCAATTTCATTATGCTATTTAAAATATCAATTTAAAAATCTGTAAATTATTTGTTTTGAGAACTTTTCAGTGTTATGTTTTAGATTGTCATTTACCAGTAGATAACTAGAACTTCAGAGAGTCAAACCATAAGTGTGGGGTGACACCAGCTACAGTGTGAACTTTTACTGCTCTGGGTCAACTTACGAATTCTAAAGCATGTCAATAATGATCTCTGGGCGATTTAGATCTGTAGACCCTGAAGATTTAAATTCATTTCCCAAATATTGAAATTTTCTCTTACCAGAAGGCAGAAAACAAATGTGAAGGTTGGAAAGAACACTGGTTGGCAAAAATAAAATTCCCCACTAGACCTTCTGTGTGGTAGATGCTAACTAACTTCCAGTCCTAATCATGTTGTTTACAACTTGTTTTTGCATGTTATTTTGTTTTTCAGTTTGGGTGGTCATTTGAACTGACTTTGATTTTTGTTCCTCATTTCTCGTTGCCAGTATTGTTTGTCAGTAACACCCAAGGCCACCAGTGAAGACAGAGTGAGGAGTTGTCCCTTAAGATAGGGAATGTACTAGAAGGAAAAAGAACAGGAACTGGCATCATTTAAATACGTGTGTATCTGTGTGTGAATGTGGGTGCTGACAGAATGTGCATGCTGACAGAGACCAGAGGTGTCAGATCCCCCTAGGGCTGGAATTGCAGGTGCTTGTAATCTGTCTGACCTGGGTTCTAAGAATTGACCTCGTAATGGCATATGCATTTAACCACACAGCCATTTTTCCAGTCCCAGAAATGACATTTTGTAAAAGAGAAGTAGAAGTGAACATTCCAGACATTTACGCACCCACTCCCTTATCCTGCTCAGAACAGATTGAATCAATAGGGTCTACTTTGTTCATTTGTTTGTTTTTATGATGAATGATAAATAATTTTTGTGGTATTAACAGTTCTCAACATTTTGATTTCTGGAAATGTTTAGTAACTTTTCTGTTTAGTATTGCTTGAAGGTTATAAACATTTTCTGATATAAAAATTGCTTATCACATTTTGAGAACAGCTACAATGTGACTATAAAGAATTTTATCCACGTGAAACTACCCACTTTCGACCCGTCCAAGGACTATATATAGTTCCTTACTGCCCTCCCTACCTTATCTGTGTCCCCATGTTCATCCCTGCCACATACCATTGGCTTCCATTTTTAGGCAGGAATGTAGACTCTCACTGCTAACTGTACCCATCCTTGTGATCTAAGACCACCATTCTCAAGTTGGAGGCCATAATCACATGCTGAAAACCCTACTCACCCATGTGACCTGACTGATGACCATGTACCTGCCTTCTATTCTCCCTTCTGTCCCTTCCATTGGGATGGAAGACTTGCAATACCTTCTCCTCAAGCTCAATAGGGTCTTCTGTTTTTAATGAGTGAATAGTTCTCATAATGTCAATAGCTTGTGTTTTTTCAAACACTCTGAACATTTGTTTATTTATTTTATGTGTGTGTGTGAGAGAGAGGGGGGGAGGGGGAGAGGGAGGGCAGAGGAGAGCATGTAGCACTCATGTAGAAGTCAGAATGTAATTTGTTATTTCCCTGTACCATAATGGGCTTCAAGGATGAAACTCAGGTAGTCAGGTTTAGGTACAAGAACCTTAGCCACTGAGTCATCCCCCTGGCCCTCAATTTGTCTTACTCAATAACTCAAAATAATAATCGAGGTGACACCTTTTCAGTTTCTGCCTGCATGTGAGATGGTATGGTGAAACAAACATCTGGAGAAACATTGTATAGTTACATCTTTAAATGTCACATCAAAACAATTTCAGAGATGAAGTTTCCTCTTATTAAGTCACTATATTCTAATTAAAGAGGTGCTAGAATTCCATCTTTGGTATCTGTATGAATGTTTTAGGATTTTAACTTTAAAACAATCTGACAGAACTTGTGTGTATGTGTGTTTTTCCATCCCCATAGGAATGGAAGACGTGACATGTGACAGAACCGAGTTCTTGAGCAACTATCTGACTAATGTGGATGATATTACTTTAGTGCCTGGAACTCTAGGAAGAATTCGATCAAAATTTAGCAATAATCCTAAATGTAAGTTGGTTCTTCGAATATTAAGTAATTCAACTAATAATCAGTGGAAAAGGTAAAGACTTGTTCTCTGAAGCTAGAGAAATCCTGGTTGAGCTTCAGTTTTTCTCATCTGATGTAAAAGACTTGCTGTTTTTGAAGACTTTGGTGGAAATTAACTGATGTGTATTGTTTAAGTGGTTCTGGGAACAGATCAGCATTGACTAAGCATTTCATCTTGTTTTTATCATGTGGAAATTTCACTTAATTTGAAGCATGTTTATAGCATAAACATCTATTCATAGGGGAGAGTTTTTCCATGTCAAGGGCAGGCTTGCCGCTTTGGTGAAGTTAGAGTCTCAGACTGACAGAACCAATACTCTACCCTCAAAGTTCGCCAGTACCTCTTGGCTTTTTCCTTTTGTCAAAGTGATATACAGAATTCATGAGAGGAAAAATACTACATCCTTAGAGATTTTTAACTATTCTGAAAAATTAGAAATTAAAAAAAACTAGAAGAATTATGAGTCTTTGTTTTAATATTTTTTTTAGCATGTTGAAGGTGTGATATGCCACTAACACTAACTTTTAGTTTGTCTCTTTGCCATCTATATTTTGAAAACTGTGTGGATGTCTTTTTAACTCAAAGTGTTTTCATTATACATATTAATTGTACATGATATTATGTCAATAAGGGCATTTTTATATGAGCATATGTTGTTTGTTTCTAAGTATATGTACTTTTACCTCAGACATGCTATATCAACATAGAACCATCAGAATAATAAACCATTGACACCAAGCTCAAAGCTTTGGAACCTAAACTTTTCCTGTTATGTTCCTAAGTCAACACAAATGGGATGTATGCCAGGGTCAACGTTGTGAAATCTTAATTTTTTCCATGTCCTTTTCTGTCCTTTGTGGCCTCAGCACCTTTGCTCCCTTGGACTGGATGCAAGCCTATGAAGGATACCTCTTAATTTTAGTGGTTGGATTTGAAGGTGTATGCAAGAATTTGCTTATTTCTTTATTTCAAAAAGTGTTTCTGACATCAGTAAATGTAATGAGGAGATTGAGTAGACAAGCCGCTTTGTTGGGGACCTGGGGAATGGTACTACCAATAATGGAATATTTGTGCTGTCCGTTCACTTTGGGAGAGACAGTTCGGTGGGCAGTGAAGAGCACAATGGTGGTCTTAGGCTGTTGTTCGCTTTGCAGCTCTTCCAGGTTCTCTTTGAGACACTGGAGAAGCCTCTTCAATGCACTGTGCCCCAGCTTCCTCATGCATAGAAAAAGGATTATGGGATGACTGAATGAGAGAGTGTGTAAATGTAACTACATTGTATTTAATCTGTAGTCAAATCTATATGTTGAATACAAAGATGGGATACTGGCTTTATTATTGTTTCAGGTGAATATGAGCACCTCCAGTACCCTTGCATGATGTATATTGCCATTGTATTTATAGACAATGGAAGTCAAGGGCAGAAAGGGTTGAAGGAGCTGGCTCAGAGGGAGACAATAAATGGTAGAGCTAGGGTTAGAACCTTGATTTGTTGATTCTTTTAAAAATTTTAATTACATTTATTTATTTATTGTGTTAATATGTATGTATGTATGTATGTATGTATGTATGTATGTATGTATGTATGCATGCACAGAAGTACAACAATGTGTGGAAGTCAGAGGACAGCTTGTGTGATTAGCATTCTGTCCTGGGAACGAAACTCAGGTGGGCAGGCATGGCAGCAAGGATTTTATATGCTGAACCATCTGGCCAGCTCCATTTGCTGCTTCTTAGACATCATCCTTTCCTCATTCAGAATGGCCTGAGTGGCATGAAATGATGATGAGTTTAGACAGAAGGACTGGTGTCTCAAACAGAAGCCTTTGGTATGTCCTAACGGCTTTCTCTAAACCAGCAGTTCCCAACCAGCTGGTCACAACCCCTTCTGCAAACCTCCGTTTCCAAAAAACTTTACATTTCAATTCATAACAGTAGCAAAATTACAGTTATGAAGTAGCAACGAAAATAATTTTATGGTTGTGGGTCACCACAACATAAAGAACTGTATTAAGGGATTGCAGCATAAGGAAGGTTGAGAAACACTGCTCTAGCCAATCAGAGACATAAATTTATTCTGTTTAGTCCCTGTAAAGACAATGACTAACAAGGCCGAAGAGTGCAGAAGTTCAGAGCATTAATTTCTCAGTGGGACTGAGTATTGTGCTCCAGTGTGCAAGCTCCCTCACCTTCTAAAACTACCTGGCTGAGTGAGGCATCTGATGGCCCCTGTATACTGGTAACCTTGTGGATGATCCGAGAGAAAGGCCTCCAGCACTCTTAGAAAGAAATGGGTGCACACCACGACTCAGTCATTATTACCATTATCAGTTGCTTGCTTTTTATTAAATGCAGCTGTTAAAGCTTAGGTAGGAGGGAATTGACATTCTTACCTTTGAACCTCAGAGTTCTAGGACTAAGTTTCTGAAGACAGTATTTAGTGTGTGTATACTTTAAGGGAACCTGCATTTTGCATTTTCCACAACTATTAACAAATTGTTTATTGAGTGCTTACTACGCCTTGGGTACTATGATATACACAAGGCCAGCTTGGGGGATGTTTCTGTCCCTGGGAGGGCTGCACTGGGAAAGCCAGGTCTCTCCTGAGTACTGCTTTCCCCTTCTCCTGCTTCTGTAATGATATATTGAAGCTAATTTTTTTGTTGTTGTTTTGTTTTTGTTTTTGTTTTGTTTATAAAGAAAAACAAAACCCAAACAGCTTACAATCTTTTTCCGCACAATCCCTACAGAGCAGCACCCTGACAATAAGATCCACTTCACAGACACCCATCATTTACATCATTGTGTTTTAACCTCGTTTGAGTGTAGTCTGAATAGTCTTTGTCTCCTGGTTGTAAAAGAACGAGGCAGCACATACATGTGAGCTGGAAAGGAGTGCAAACCTATGTAATTAGACCTCTGATAGCAGCACAGAAACTACTCACTTGCTCCATTAGAAACAGCATTTTGCAGGGAAATGGTGGCTTATTCAAAAGCACTGCAGAAAAACAGGAAATGATGATAAAAAGACCCCTAAAAATGTTCAGCTCTGTTCCTGACATGAAATTGCAAATAAACTCAAGTGAGTGCTCCATGGGACTCTGTTGGGAAAACTTGGAGCAAGTTACCCAGCAGTACTCTTATGCTACGGGAAGAGGGCTTCCCTTCTAGATGAGGGGTCCTGCATCTTGCAGGACAGATTGCTGCAGGGTTTGTGCCACTTGCTTAGTTGCCTCTCTGTTACTGAAATATTAAAAACCTATACTCCGGTGGGCATCTGTTCAAAGCGACATTCAATAGGGTGGAAACATTAAGTTTCTTTCTGTAAAAATCACCTCTCTTTGTGGCAATGTTTTGAAATCTTTCTCCCTTTTCTCTGCACAGATGACCCTAAAGCCATTATTGCTAATCTCACGGTAAGTGTTGTAAGCCACTAGGCCTCTTCCCTTGGAGCAGCTTTGACATGATCACCTTCTAATGTTTGCCTTTCCTGTGGGTGGTTAGGAACATTTTCCTCACTGACCTGCGGTCCTGTGTATTTGTTTCCCCCAAGCTTTCAAAACTTCTGGCCTGTGGTCAACTGTAGACTCCCAATGGTCTTGGCGAGGATACAAACCGAGGTTTTTTTTCTTCCTATTAAGCTGAGAGCTATTTTCTCATGATTAATCAGATCTTTCCTCACTCTGGAACAGATCTGTCCCCATCTTCTAGCCCCCGCCCCATCCCACAGATAGAGACTTCAAAGCACTTGAGCGTATCATCAGTTAGGCCTGCACATGTCTACTGCTATCTTCCCACCCCACCTCCCACTGCTTATCTTGAAGCAATTAGGAAAGATATTGAGTTTTGAACTGCCCTTAGTCTTGGTCTCAAGAGTAAAGAATTTATCTTAAAATTTTTCTCATGTGTTCTGATAACCTACAACTTTTTTCTAACAGTGTCTAAAATTCCATTTAATCTGCTAACTATCTTTTTGTTGGGGCTAACACTACCTTCAACTTTCAAGAGACAACAGACTATGTAGGCCTTTTTATTTTTTTTTTGGTACAAAACATCACTCTGTAAGACCAATATTTACTTATATTTTCAGTGTAAAAAACCAGATCAGCACTTTAAGCCTTACATGAAACAGCATCTCCCCAAACGTTTGCACTATGCCAACAACAGGAGAATTGAGGATATCCATTTGTTGGTGGATCGCAGATGGCATGTAGCAAGGTAACTCGGGGAGCCTGTCTCTGTCTTTACAAGCATCTTTCTGTCACCTGAAAATCCATTAAGGTTCTTAGTCATTATTAAGAAAAATCTGGGCTGGAAATAATGTAGTTGTTTGGAATTTTTTGCATAGTAGATAATCGATATCTCTAGCTCCTGGGTCTTTTCTAGTTTATCATGAATCTCTTGCATAAGTTTTATAGAGACATTCTAGATTTTTTTTTAATCCCTTGAACAACTCAAAATACAACTAAAGCCTTGCTGATGTGGTCCTGGTTGACATGATTGCCTATAGCTGTGTTTGCAGAAGGTTGGAAATGTTAATCTTGAAACCTCCATTGCCATAGACTTGTTTTACATTGCTCAACTGATGTTGCCTTCTGAACTACTAAAGTCTCTCCCAGATCAAGGGGATCACCCTTTGCTTTGGGATCTGATGTAGAGCATGTCTGGGGGCTCTGTCACTTCTGAAGAGTCAATCACCACTGATTTAGATTTTTATGTAGTCATAGAAGAGTATTTTTTCACACATTCTTGCTCCAACTTTGACCTTAAGACAAGTATGATGAATATGTTTGTAGTACTAATTGACTAACTATGATGTATACTTGAGCTGAGAAGTAGTTTATAATAGTTAATGGCTAAGCATGAGATGATTATGGTCTTCAGGAACTTTTTCTCAATATGAAACACTTAGACACACATAGCATGCAATCTACTATAACTGTAAAAGACAAAATAGTTAAATACGTAGGAATTTGCAGAGAGATATGAAACCCAGAAATCACTGGAATCATGTAGAATGTCATGTAGAAATGTTGTTACAGAGATGTGGTCAAAATGTCTTGGCTGACTATGTCTTCTGCAGGACTTTTAGTGTCAGGGGCACCTAGTAAAGAAACCTGATGCATTTGTCTAGTTTATATGAAAAATGTGCCTTGGAACAGAAGTTAGCTGAAAGATGACACTAGTTGAACAAGTTAGTGAACAGCAAAGGCAGGTGCTTAATCTTTAAAAATTCACTCTTTCATTGTTGAGTTATTATATATACCTACTACTATCCTAATCCAGGTTACACTGAGGTGGAAACCCATTTGTTAGATTTTTGTAGTTGTTGTTTTTCCAGGCACTATTCTTCACTGAACTGTGCTTGCTTGTACTTAGGCAATACTTACATTACTAAGCATCAATGCTTTGGGTGGTAGATGAGTCCATAAAACAGTTTTGTAAAAGGTGTCTCTCTGTTACAAAAGGTAAAATTAAGTGATTGTGATGTCTAAACACATTTTCTAGGTGAGGTCAGGCTTTTGTTAGCTATGCCATTGTTAGTGTTAAATTGACTCCTTCATGGACTCTGGTGTTTCTATCCTGCTAGGTAATTTGTATATAATTACTTTCAGAAAATGCAGATTTCCACAAATTGATTCCGTATCACATATTTAAAAATGACTTCTGCATCTTGGGACTGAACCTGGAGAACACATAGCAGGGGGAGCTGACCAGTCCAAGCAGGATCATTTTCAAAATTTCCCCTTTAACCTAGGGTGATATGCAAAGCAATACACTAGAGAAATGAACAGAAGTACCTTGTCATTGCCATGGGAAGATGCAATTAAGACAGAAACAATTGGGCTTCAGGCAGGCCTTTTCAGGGATCCTGTGTACCCCAAATTTGCTTTCTATCAACATGATTTGGTGCAGAATCCTAACTGATCATGAAATTGTTTCAATGTAGGAAACCTTTGGATGTTTATAAGAAGCCATCAGGAAAATGTTTTTTCCAGGGTGACCATGGCTTTGACAACAAAGTCAACAGTATGCAGGTATGATCACAAAACTAAACTGAAACTGAATTGGGGGGGGGGGGTTGTGGATCATGGGGCCAGTGAAGCTTCAGGGAACTCAGACATAGAAGAAACATGGCTAGTCGAAGCAAGGATGGTTAACTATGTTTCTTTTCTTTTCTTCTGGAAGACTGTTTTTGTAGGTTATGGCCCAACTTTTAAGTACAGGACGAAAGTGCCTCCATTTGAAAACATTGAGCTTTACAATGTTATGTGTGGTAAGTCACTTGCTCAATCAAACGCAATGAAACAATCTTTGCTCAGTGAATTTCCTTACTGCCAGAAAAAGAAATGAGTTGTCTATTTTCTAAGACCTTCTCTCCCTGAAAAAAAAAATTGTAACTTGCCCATTGGTTCAAAAGACAGAATGTCACCCCCTTCTAAGGCTTCTTTGTGTCCCTTCAACAGTTGACTAATAGGGAGTTTTCATAGTGTTGCTGTTGGCAGCCGCTGGCTGATCCAACATAGCATTACAGTTTGACACCGTTGGTCAGAGACCCGATGAAGCAAGAGTTCCATGTAGACAGAGCGTTCTCCTACCTCCCTCTCTCATGTTGCAGCCCAGTGAAAAATTTGCCAGCTTGCATCCCAGCCAGCTATTTATGTACTCCTAATTATTTTTCTTCCTTGAGCTTCTCGTTGCTGAATGAGGACAGCTTTTCCTATTTAGTAAGGGAGTGTCAGTCTGGTGGTTAGAGGGGGAGTCTGAAAGTCGGGCCTCCTGGGTTCTTTTCCTAGGTTGGCTGCTAACTCTCTACTGTCCTGCCTCTCAGCTTAGGCAAGTCACTGTATGCCCACTTGGCAACCATTCATTTGCTGTGAAATCAGCCTGTTCATCCCTTGGTAGCCCATCAAGGCACATGGCCAAAGCCTGCTCTTGTCCTCACACTTTTGGGGAGTGCATTACAGGGCAGGCTATGGATACTTATTGACTATGTCTTATTTCAAAATTTGGGTTTAAAGAGTCCAGAGAACTGCAGGAGGTTGATGGTAGCAACATTGTCACACACACAGGCAATGGCTGAGTAAACTGTTCCTCCACTCTGGGCTTTTGGGAATGCTTGTCTCTATTCACACTCTAACAATAAACAGAGCTATTTCAAGAAGTATTAGCAAGGTTCAGAAGATGAGAAAGGAGTGGCAAATATGGTAATGCAGTTAGTCCAATTGTGATTTGTGTTCAGTATTTATGGACCTGCATCCCTTTCTATTCACCAGATCTCCTAGGATTGAAGCCGGCTCCCAATAACGGAACTCATGGAAGTTTGAATCACCTATTGCGTACAAATACCTTTAGGCCAACCATACCAGAGGAAGTCACCAGACCCAACTATCCAGGGATAATGTACCTCCAGTCTGATTTTGACCTGGGCTGCACCTGTGATGATAAGGTAGAGCCAAAGGTAGAAACCATCTTTATGCTTTACCATGGAGATGTTAGTTTGGTATATACAGCATTGTCCTGCAGAGCTTTCTGTGATAGCGTTAATGACTGTCTTTGCTATCCAAAATGGAGCCTGTGACTGGTTACAATGGAGGGATGAAAATTTTAACTCCATTGTTTTAAAGTTAAGTATTATTAAAAGCTGAATATGGCTCATGGCTACCATCTTAGACAGCACGGGTCTGGAGAGGAGAATGAAGGATAAAAATGTTATCCTCTGGATTCACAATGTGCAGTCAGGAGCTCACTCTTCTATGTAATTGTAGATCACCGGTGATTCAAAGCCCTCATAGATAACAGGTAGCCATGTCAAAATGGTTTTAAAAGGCACTTGAGATTTTAAGGGATTTGAGAAAACTATTTGCAAAACCTGGGCAGGGTAGACAGAAGTCACTGGGGAATGGGAAATATTCTGGAGCTTCCAAGGTGGGAAAGGTGAGGGCAGATAGAAAATTACTAGGGAGATTGGCAGGAGAGAGAGAGAGGGAGGGTGGGAGGGAGGATAAAAGAGAGCACTGTGTCAGTTCAAATATTGCAGCCCAAACTGCAGATCACTACCTGTGATCTGGTAGTATAACACCCTAGTCTCTATCGCCTACTGTACTCTGCTCAGGTGTCTTCCATGGTAGAGCCTAATTGCAAGCCAAAGAAGAAGTTTATTCTTTAATGCAACCCCTAACACTCACCTGGGTGAAGAAGGTACAACACGAATGGGCGGTGTTCAAAGCATATCACCCATTATACTGTGATGGGTCTGCCTATAAATATCAACAAAACAAAAGAAAAACCAAACCCCAAAATATTAAGCAGTAATTTGCTCATTGAATTTTTAAGTTGATTAAGATTTTTATAGCTACCAACCAATGCTGCTTCTTTTCTTCCTTTTTAATTTTCTTTTTATTTATTCTTTGTCTTTCACATCATACATCTCAATCCCATTCATTTCCCTTCCTTTCATATCCACTCTCTGACCTTGAAACCCATAATAATAAAGTAAAATAAAATTCAACTTAAGGGAGGGGGAAGAAAGAAAGAGAGAGAGAGAAAGATCTCATTTTGGAAGCTGTAGTGTGACACAGTGAGTCACACTTTACCCTTCCATCCATGTATATTTACTTGCAAGTGTTCATTGCAAAGAGTCATTGATCTGGTTCGAGGCTCCTGGTTTCTGCTACACTGTTGATGCTGGGCCTTCACTGGAACTACTCTAGGATGTCCTGTTGTTGCCCTGTGCTGTGGAGATCCTGCTGCTTTGGATCTTCAGGTCTGGCCCCCTCACATGCCCCAGCAGACCATAGATAGGGTGGATATTGGGGTGGGCCAACTCATAACCCTGGTTATGGGCATGGGCAGTTGCAGGGTTGGTCAGCCTTCCAAATACTCTCACAACTAGGGTAAGCTCTCTGGCATTGCCCCAGCTAGTTCATCCCTTGTAGTAAGGAGCAAAGGGTGGGGCCTGCTCTCCTGCTTTGATGTCCTCAGGCTTGGCCCTCTCACACCCAAGCCACCAGGGCCAGCTCTATTGTGCTGCCCAGGTGAGGTACAGGGTCCACACTCCTGAGTGCTGCATCTGTCAAAGGGCAGGAACAGCTCTCTGGCTCTGCTCTTATGGCCTCTGGCCATCTCTCCCACTACAGTCAGCTAAGAGGTGGTGGCATCTATCCCCAGGCCCAGACCATCATATGAGGAGCAGGACCAGATCTCCCACACTCAAATTCTCAGGGCTCATCCCCCACCCCCACCCCACTCCCATCAACAGGGCCAGTTCTACTGTGCAAGTAGCAGGGCCCAAACCTTCCTGAGTGCCACAGCTGGTAAGGGGGAGGGTCAGCTCCTTCATCTGCAGCAGGAGGCAGGAGCAAGGAAGGTGGGCATCTCAACTAGTGCTTCTACTAGCAGAAATGAACCAATGCTTCCACATTGAGTTGAGAAGATGCTTGCATAAAGTAATGGTGTTAATTCATTTTTAAACGCTGTTTAATTGTAGGCAGACATGTGAGGGGCCTTTCTTCCCTCCTTCCTTCCTTCCTTCCTTCCTTCTTTCTTTCTTTCTTTGTATTAGCCACAGAAAAATGGACAGTAATTCTCCTGTTGTGCAATCTCTTTCCCTTACCATTTGTCTCCTCCCAGGATTCCTGCAGGCATAGGAGCCACAGTTTCTTTAAAAAAAAAAAAATATATATATATATATATATATATATATGTATATGTATATGTATATATATATATATATATCCAAGTCCATTTAAATGAAAACAAACATTTATAGACAATATTTTGGAATTTGGCCATCGTTCTTTCCAAACTACTTCCTGCTGGTAAGGGGTGCTGTCATGGGGGATTCGAAGAAGATGCAGAAATCCTGGCTGTAGTCTGTCAGGCTGCTTTGTCCAGCTGTTTTGAATGTAGGATCACCTGGTACTTTGTTTCAGGTGGTCTGGCTTGATCAAACCACATTAGTCTGGAAGGAATCCACATCTTTTCATTTTCTGTGGAAACAAAAATAGAAATCCTTTTCTCCAGTTACTTGTCCTTGAACTTAAATTTTGGAGTCAAAGCATTTTTTTTAATTTAATTTATTGTTTTACATGTCGATCCTAGTTCCCTCTCCCTCTCTCCCTCCATCTCTCCATCCCTCCCTCCTTCCCTCCCTTTTACCCTCTCTGCCCTCTCAATGCACTCTAACCCACCCTCCCCTCCCATCCCCCCACCCCCACTACCATTCCATATGTAGGGGAATGCCATCCAGTTGGGGTCATATAGATCTGACAGGTCATGTGAAGTAGAGACAAGGGCTTCTTTCCTGTCTCTAGATTAAGGCAGTTATCCCTTCATGGGGGATGTGTTCGCAAGGTCCTTTTGTGCACCAGGGATATATCCTGGCTCCACTGTCTGAGGTCCCTTAGACTGCTCAGTCCTTCTGGCTGAGACCCATATTCAGGGGGGCCTGAGTCAGTCCCATGCTGGCTTCCCAGCTATCAGTCTGGTGGCCCTTTAGCTCCTCCTTGTTCAGGTCAGCTGTCTCTATGTGTTTCTGCTGCCTGGTCTTGTCCTCTCCATCTGCATCTGGGTTCTACTTCGACTCAGTGTTTATGTATGGGTGTTTGCTCCTGTTTCCATCAGGCATTAGTTGAGGGCTCCATGGAGAAGTTAGTTGTTGATCTCACTCTCCGGGAAGGGCATTTATGGTAGCCTTTCCATGGAAGCTCAGATTGTTAGTTGGGAGCAGTCTTGTAGTTCTCTAGACCTTTCTTTGTGTTCAATTTTATCTTCAAACCATTATTGTCTCCCTATTTTATGTTCTCTCTCTCTCTCTCTCTCTCTCTCTCTCTCTCTCTCTCTCTCTCTCTCTCTCTCTCCTGTCTTCTATTCCTAACCGGGCGCAATCTTGCTGGTCGCACATGTTTTCCTTTCCTCCCCCTCATTTTCTCCTACTTCTCTCTCCATTCGCTGTCCTCCCCTACTTCACCTGAACTCTGGGGGACTTGTCCCTTCCCAGTTCTGTGAGGGACTTTATATGAATCTCTTAGACTACACCTTGTATCCTAGTTCCTCTGGTGGTGTGAGTTATAGGCTGGTGATCTAGGTCTAAATCCATATATGAGTGAGTATATACTGTGTTCCTCTTTTTGTGACTGGGTTTACCTCATTCAGGATAGTTTCTTCAAGTGCCATCCACTTGCCTGTGAATTTCAAGATACCGTTGTTTTTTTCTGCAGAGTAGTATTCCATTGTGTAGATGTGCCACATCTTCATTAACCATTCTTCAATTGAAGGGCATCTAGGTTGCTTCCAGGTTCTTGCTATTACAAATAGTGCTGCTATGAACATAGTTGAACAGATGTCTTTGTTGCATGGATGTGGATCCTTTGGGTATATGCCTAAGAGGGGGATTGCCGGGTTCTGTGGTAAGCTAATTCCCATTTTCCTGAGGAACAGCCATACTGATCTCCAAAATGGCTGTATGAGTTTGCACTCCCACCAGCAGTGGAGGAGTGTTCCCATTTCTCCACATCCTCTCCAACATGAGTCATCATTGGTGTTTCTAATTTTAGCCATTCTGGTATCTCAAAGTTGTTTTGATTTGCATTTCCCTGATAGCTAAGGATGTGGAGCATTTTCTTAAGTGTCTTTCAGCCTTTTTGGTTTCCTCTGTTGAGAATTCTTTCTTCAGTTCTGTACCCCATTTTTAAATAGGGTTATTTGGTGTTTTGTTGACTAGTTTCTTGAGTTCTTTGTATACTTTGGAGATCAGCCCTTTGTTGGATATAGGATTGGTGAAAATCTTTTCCCAGTCTGTGGGCTGCCATTTGGTCTTGTCCACTGTGTCCTTTGCCTTACAGAAGCTTCTAAGTTTGAAGAGGTCCCATTTATTAATTGTTTCTCTCAGTGTCTGTGCCCCTGGAGTTATGTTCAGGAAGTGGTCTCCCATACCAATTTGTTCAAGGGTACCTCCTACTTTCTCTTCTAAGAGGTTCAATGTGGCTGGATTGATGTTGAGGTCTTTGATCCATTTGGACTTGAGTTTTGTGCATGGCGACAGACATGGGTCTATCTGCAGTCTTCTACACACCCACGTCTAGTTGTGCCAGCACCATTTGTTGAAGATGCTGTCCTTGCCCCATTGTATAATTTTAGCTGTTTTGTCGAAAATCAGGTGTTCATAGGTGTGTGGGTTAATATGAGGATTTTCAATTCGATTCCATTGGTCTACCTGTCTATTTTTATGCCAATACCAGGCTGTTTTCAGAACTATAGCTCTGTAGTAGAGCTTAAAGTCAGGAATGGTGATGCCTCCTGAAGTTCTTTTATTGTATAGGGTTGTTTTGGCTATCCTGGGTCTTTTGTTTTTCCATATAAAGTTGATTATTATCCTTTCAAGGTCAGTGAAGAATTGTGGTGGGATTTTAATGGGGATTGCACTGAATCTGTAGATTGCTTTTGGCAAGATTGCCATTTTTACTATGTTTATCCTACCTATCCAAGAGCATGGGAGATCTTACCATTTGTCCCCTCCCAGGATTCCTACAGGCATAGGAGCCACAGTTTTGTAAGCTCTAGAATACGAGGAATTCAGTTTGCCTTTCCTCCCTCTACATGTTTATCTCCTTCCTATCTTTGCTCTTAATAAGAATCTGGAAGGCTAATGAGTGGAGGGGGGGCAGGCAATGCTCAAAATCTGGAGGTGAGAGGCTGCCAAAATCAAATGGAATCAACTTAAGAGGATCACAAGTATACTTTTAGAGGACTCTGTAGTTACATTTGTTCTCTGCATCCCCTCCAGTAAGAAAGCCTTTTGAATAGCTTGACATAAATTCTTTCCATAAAGTTTGCATTGTCTTTATTTAAAGGATTTCCAAAATGTCTATTCTTCTTTTCCTCCTTTCCTTCCTTCTTCCCTCCCTCCCTCCTTTCCCCCTCTCTCTTTCCCTGTGTTTCTTCAATTCTTCTCCAACACAGCATTAACTGGGACACTGAAAGTCTTGTGTAACTCCCCTGCTTGACTCTCTACTTTTACTTTGTGTATATACAGCTCCTAAATAGTATACTAAGTGACTTACCACATCTCAAAATAAAGAATGGAATAATTTGCACATGGGAAATTTGTATGTGGCTGCTGTTGTAGGCTCCAAGTCCTGAGATTGTTTGATTCATCATTATTTCTGGGATACATTTATGTCTATTTGCATATGAACTTTTACCTCACTTATTTTCATGTTAGTTAGTTATAGTTGATACAGAAACAGATCATAGTGTTTTTATTAAGTTTTCTGTCTGAGAACATTTGGTAACTTTCAAATATCAGCTTTACAGTTTTTCAAAGGACATTATTGTAAGTGGGGTTTTGTAGTTGATGCTCTCGAGCCTCAGGGACAGGTCATGGGTGTAAATTCTGAACAATACTTTTTCAGAGTTGTTCCATCATTACTCTCCGGAAGTGCTGAGTCATTACTGTTTGGACTTGGAAGAAAAGCAGTTTTGTACATTGGTTTGGTGGCTCATTTTAGTGTAGACAGGAATTAATCTGAGATAGGAGGCACTGCTGTAGCTCCTTACATGTATGTGCCCAAATATCCACTCTTCTCAGCCTGGGAAGCTACCATGAGTGCTCACAGTGGGAAGGAAAAGGAGCTGGTTCACAGGGAGTCACCAAGGTGCTCACAGACAAGCTTAGAATGCAGATAGGAGATAAAGCAGAAGCTCACCAGGAGGATTACCACGGTGACAGAAGCTGGAATTTAGCAAGATGCTAAGGAGAAAGAAGGGAAGGAAGAAAGAAAGAACATCTCTGATGTGCCTTTTTCTTTCCTTTTCCGGTTTTCACATGTGAAGAACAAATTGGACGAGCTCAATAAACGTCTTCACATCAAAGGGTCTACAGAAGGTAAGGGCAGGTTCCAAAATCAATAAAACAAGTTTTGACTTCTAGTTTTTAAAAATCAGAAAATAGAGCTGGAGAGATGGCTTGCCATTCTTCCAGAAGACCTGGGTTGGATCCCTGGCACCCACAAGGCAACTCACAACCAGCTGTAACTCCAGTTCTTAGGGATACAATGGCCTCTTCTGGTCTCTGTGCTCAACAGGCATACACATGGGTGGAAGACATACATGCAGGCAAACCACCCATACACATAAAAAACAACCAACCAAACCAAACCAATCAACCAAACAAAAGACCATCAAAGACCATCCTATTTCTTTTATGACCAAAATGATATTTTTAAAAAATCTCTAATTATATTGCAAACATTTTTTATATCTATGAACACAAGGTGCCAGCTAGACAATGGGGAAATTCTATTAGCTTTTGAATTTCCTTTACTAGTGTTTAAACTCCAAGAAAAAGAAAGAAATCCATTGAGCATCTGATGGGTCACAAATGAAGGTGCTAACAGGAACTTTTTTGGAAATGGTAGTCATAGTGATAAATATTAGCTCCTGCTGCTTACACCAAAGCTCAAATGCCTGAAGGATCAGCAGGTAAGTTGTAATGGAGAAAGGTTCCTAGAAGAAATGAGATTTCCTTCATCACACACAGGACTCTCTACCCCAACCCATTGTCCTCTTATTTTATATATGACAACAGCAAGCACATGAGAGTAAACTCTGTAAGCGTGATATATGGCAAAAACCAAATACAAAACAAACAGAGAGCAGCCAAAAATCCCAGGGATTTCTACCAAGGAAAAAACAAACATCTTGTTCACGTTTTAGTATGCTGAATGTAGGCTAAGTGGGCTTCCCTGCATTTGCTGTGGAATCTAGGTTGAAAGAACTTCCCCAGTCTGGGACATGCCATGCTCATGACAACACTCACAACTGTGTATACTAGCTATCAACACTTCTGCTTTCATCAGGTAGTGCCACTTCTAGTCACAGTTTACCAGCCCAAGTAAGACTCATGATGCCAATGGTGTAGAGTATACTCTTTCCACTGGGACTCTATTCTTTTTGCAAGTTATACAGTTGCAGCTTAGAATAGAGCATAATCAGGAACAACCCATCAGGCAAATTCTTCCTTTTGATTTATTTTGTTTGTTTTGCTTCTTTGAGACAGGGTCTCACTATGTAGCTCTAACTGGTCTGAAACTCACTATGTAGTTTAGGCCGGCTTCCAACTTAGAGACCCACCTGCCTCTGCCTCCTGAATGCTGGGATTAAAGGTATTCACCACCATCTTCTTCTTGATTTTGAAGTTCTGGAAAATTAGAAGAGAGAGTAGCGAGCTGCCCTGAAGGTTTCCTACAACACATGTAATGACTTTCTGAGACACCCAGAGCTGGGTTGAAGAAGTAGATGGAACAACATGGTAGAACTACATCTAGTTCTAATAATGCACAGATTCTCTCAGGCCATCTCTTGAGTCCCATCAGTTTCCATGTGGTCCTGTTTATCATATGGTTTCTCGTATGAATTAGCAGAGGTTGAAGAAGGCAGCAGCAGGTCTTAATTTCTTGTCTGGCTTTCTTTCTATAAAAGATCTTCATCTTTTTTTCTATATCACCACCCTCCCCCTTTCCCTTTGATCACAGAATACCCAGGCTTTCTGGCATGTAATTGGATAGTACAGTTTTACAGGCAGAGCTTTGTTGGTGGGAGCTTTATGTATCCCCCACAAACTCAACAAATGACTTGAAAGTTTGTCACCTAACTTTTAGTGTACTGTAATGTCATTATATGTAAACAACAGCAGCGACAACAACAATACAAGTTGCCAGAGGGGTGGGGTAGGGTGTGCCATGATTTCCAAATAGTCAGTTACCAAAGAAGCAGCCCTGAGACACTCTTTATAAGACTCCTGCTCTCTTCTTTCTGGCAGCTGGATGTAAACTCCAGCTGTGCTTGCTCCTAAACATTTCCACCCACATGACGATGTCTGCATCTAGTCTGTTGGTGTGATGGCATTGCATTCACATGACAAAAATCACTCCCTTAATGAGTACTGCCACCAAGCATGGCAGCAGGAGGCCTTGTGCTGGTGAACGTGTGGCTATCAGGACTAGAACGAGCTGTAGTGAGTGATGTTACTTCTATGCAGCTTTGCTTAGAGTTGACCATGAGTGTCTTACATGTATCACGGAAGGGTCTTACTTATTTACCCTCCTCTCCTACAACACACCCCAACCACAGCCTCCCCTTCCTCCACTCCTCTTAGTTGCTCCCCACCCCTTGTCCTCCAGATCCACTGCTCCTCCATTTGCCTTCAGGAAAAAAACAAAACAAAACAAAACAAAACAAAAAAAACAAAACAACAAAAAAAAAAGAAAACCAGGGCTCCCAGCGATATCAACTGAACACTGCATAATAAGATGCAGTATGACTAGGTACCAATCCTCATATCAAGGCTAGATGAGGCAACACAGCAGGAGGAGACGGGTGCCAAGAAAAGGCAAAAGAGTCAGAGACAGCCCCACTCCCACTGTTAGGAGTCCCACAGAAATCCCAAGCTAAACAACCACAGGGTGTATGCAGATGAGCACCACAGACCCATGTAAGGTCTGGATGTTTTCGTAGGGGCTAGTGATGTGTCCTCTCTCAGTATTTGTTGGGACCTTAGCTGGAATTGACTGTGGTTTCTGAAAGAATGACACCACTGACAGTTTTAACCCTTGGCTTCAAAAGGACAGTATAAAATATTAGGGGAAAATCATGACAACTAGATCGGTTACTTTTACCTCACTGTGAAGGCTGCCCTTCAGATCCAATCTGAAGCAGGAAAGATTTATTCTGGCTTGCGGTTTCAATCCATCATGAGGGAGAAGATGTGACATAACAATTCAGTTCATGGTAGTGGTGGAGCGAGCATATGGTAGACAGGCAGCCTTGAGTAAGGCTTGAACCAGGGCCCTGGCTAACACCTTCAAAGGCCTGCCCCTAGTAACTTACTCTGCAAGCCAGGTTGCTTATCCTCTCAATACAGCACCATTAGCTGGGGAAAGCATTCAGACAGCAGCTTGTGGGATATATTTCAGACTCAATTCATGGCAGTAGCATAAGCATTTGGTGTCTTCATGGTCTACAGGAACCAACCTTTAAGGATATGAGACACCTGAAATAAAACCAGCTGTGTATTATGTTGTAGTGTGTGAAAACCATTTCTTTGGCTAGATTCTGGAATTTGTGTAAATCTCGGTGTCCCCTGACTTTCATCTCCATCACCTCATCAGTTCTGTCTCATTCACTTCTACAATGGTAAGGAGGCATCTTCTGAGTCTTGAGTGTCTCATATACCATGCTTCCAGGTTCCCATTCAAAATGCCCAGTGTCTGCTACAGTAGAATCTTGTGAATACAAATCACCTGTGTTTATGTGTGTGCACATATGCATGTGCATTGAAGTATGTGTGTATGTGTGAGTGTGTGTGTGTGCATGCTCATGCCTGCACAGGCACTGGATTCAGAGTAACTGATTTGGCTTTCTGACTTTAGATATGTATTGAGCCTTATAAAGCAGTTTATAAATCTAACATTCTATATGCAAATGTAAGATATTTCTGGTTTTGTTTATTAGTTCAAAGTAGAGATGAGTCATGTGTAACACTGTAGCGTTTCTGTGTTGCTGTTTTAATGTCATCTACTATGAAAGAAGTCCGACATCTATGTAGAGAGCACATGTGAAAGTGGCATATTCCAGTCATGAAGTAGCCTGGAGTCTATTTGAGGTCAAAAAGTAGTAAATTAGTCTTAGGTGATGTTTTGCTATTCAGTCAAGGCCTTTGTAAAATAAAGAGGAAGAAAACTGTAGTCATCAAAACTGGTCTGATGAGGTCATACTATTTCTACGTAGGTGGCAAATTCTGAATCTGTGTTGCATAACAGCTGTTGTTTTCTGGTCACAAGTATCTAGTATAGTGGCAGATTTGCTGTGCAATGAAAACTCATTTCCTTGTGACCCCGAGTCAGAGGATAAAGGAATGGATGGCATGGAAAATGTCCACTCTCTTTACAGGCAATTCTGGCTTTATAGCCCAAAGAGGAAGAACAACATTAATAACTTGCCTTAATCTTTTCTTCATGGCTACAAAATGCTTTGCATTTTATTTTATTTATTTATCTTATTTTACATATTGATCCCAGTTCCCTCTCCCTTCCTTCCTCTCTTTCTCTCTCCTTCCCTCCCATACCCACAACCACCCTCCCCTCCCATTCCTCCCCCCTCCACATGTAGGGTGATGCCTTCCAGGATGAGTCATCTAAATCTGTCAAGTCATTTGGAGTAGGGACTAGGACTTCTTCCCTGTTTCTAGGTTAAGGGAGTATACCTCCATGGGGAATGTACTCCCAAAGTCCTTTCGTGCACCAGGGATGATACATTCTGGTTCCACTGTCTGAGGTCCCTTAGACTGCTCAGTCCTTCTAACTGAGACCCATGTTCAGGGGGTCTGAGTCAGTCCCATGCTGGATTCCTAACTATCAGTCTTGGGGCATCCATTAGCTCCTCCTTGTTTAGGTCCACTGTCTCTATGTGTTTCTGCAGCCTGGTCTTGTCCTCCCTCTCTGCATCTGGATTCCAGTTCGGCTCAGTGTTTACTTTGCATTTTCTTAAGCAAGGCTGCGCTGTCATCTTTGTATGGAAAGGAACTTAAATCATTTCAATGACTATGTATGTTTGGCACTTTACACACCATATGAAATTAATTTATGTATTAAAGAATGACAGTAATTTTGCTGACTGGGTAGAAGATTCCTGATTGTTGTTGGGAGACTCTAGGAACTTTTCAGATCCTAAAATGCTTCCTGTTTCTGGTGGCTTTTTGAAGACTGTTGTGCTAAAGAAGGGAAGTGGCATAGTTGTTTTTCTCAGTATAGGCATGTCTGTGTATGTGTTACAGAAAGCAGCGGGCAAGTCACTAGCTCCATCATTGCTTGTGATTTATAGTAGGAT